GGTATCCTCTTCCCCAATTCTAAATATACAGTCAGTGAGATGCTTGATGATAATATTATGCTATATTTCTCAACATCCTTGAGGCCTTAGTTTCAAAAGGCAGACAATACCTTTGGGTATTAGGGTAATATTTCCACAGAAAATGCTTGCTTACTTACTGATTGATTGGATCTCTTGTCCACCAGAGTTGAGAAATTCCCAGGGGGCTGCAGTCATAATAATAAAATTTCCACACTACAATTACAATTTCATAACTACAAATACAACCATTAAATAAGCAGTAAGCAGTTTTAACAATTAAGTTACATGAAAAATCCTGAAACAGCCAACCAAAAATCAATAAAAATAGATAGCAACGTCTTTCTGATAATATTCTGAAACTTAAAGAAGGAGGAAATAAGAGGAAATAATGGCACATGTTCATTTAGGCCTGGTAATCTATCTAAGTCCATCTGGAGTATTGTTTCCTACCCAAGATGCCATTTTTTTCAATCTTGTCTATCAATTAGGGCATAATGTGCTGCTGAGATGATTCTCCTGCTACTGCTTCCACTGGGATCAAATTTGGCACACAGATCAAAGTACGGTTCTCAGTATTTTTGAACCTTGGATCTTTTCTTTATGTGGTTCTTCAGCCACTCCATTTTAGCATTGGATTGTAGAAGCAAAAAGAAGGAAGGTCTACTCCTTCAATATGGAGGTCATAAGAATTTAATTTTTTTATGACTCCATAAGACTCAGCGGGAAAACCAAGGTCATAATAACCATTGAGACGGTGCTTTATTGATGCTCAGGGATCTGCAACTTTAAAGGCTTGTTCCCAAAATGTTGCCCAGCTGTAAAACAAGTGATTAATTTTATAAAGGCTTGGCAAGTGGTGCATAAGTCAGCAATATTTCTCTCAAATACTCCAGGTACTTACCAGAGGGGTAATTTTTTGCCACATTTTGTGCATTTTTGAAAAAAAGCCCTAAAAATACAGCAAAAAAATTGAAGAAGGCAGAGAGAATGGAGATGAAATGTGAATATTTATTTATTTATTAACTGAATTGGCTGCCCATCTTACCACAGAATAAAAGCTTGGAAACTGCTCAGGCAGCCTAAAGAAACTGAAAACATATAGTAAGCATCTCTTGGGCAAATGCAATAAGAGTAGGAGGGTCTGTATTTCCTGCTTTAAAGATCTGAATAATGGTATACACGGGAACAGAACAAAGATGGGCAGTAAGTGGAAGACTAAAGCATGACTGAAGTGAAATTTGATAAGTTGTAAACAAGAGCAACTATTTTCTGAATACCCCAAGGTCAAGTTGTAATAAAGAGAAACAAGTATAGGAGCACTCTCACAGGAGCATCTTTTTCTAAAATAAATTAATCAGATTTACACGGGTTGGTAATTTATGGGCTCAACTTCTGCAGTAAATCTCTGGGCTAATGTTAAAGGTGGCAACTGGTTTAAAATTTGGCAACTAGGTTAATCTTCATATTGCTCATATAGTAAAACTTATTCCACTCTTGGTATATCTCTGACAAAAAAATGATGACGATTGCTTTTAAGGATTTAAATTTCTTAGAAGCTAACTTAGCAACCTGCTGATGACTCATCAGACATTGACTCAAGTTTTCTATGATTATCCCAAGGTTTTAGAATGTGTTTCCTATAAGACCTCTAAGGTGACACTATCTAGTTCAGGCATGTCAAACTGACGGCCGGTGGGCCAGATGTGTCATGCTGAAACCACGCCCACCCGATTACCGACAGTGGGGGGAAAGTTGTGATACGTCGTGTGACTTCATGTGACGTCGCGAGTTTGACATGCCTCATCTAGTTGATCTTGTTAGACTTGAAAGCTAAGTACTTTCTTTCCTGGTTAGGAAAGAGCTTCAAAAAATACATGGGTTGTAAACTACACTGCAAATTGAAGGAATATCCCAGAAGAGGCAAATAACAAGCCATTTCTATGTTGTTGTCAAGAAAACTCAGTAGGCACTATGTATCTATGAATTCAACTTAAAGACTTCATTTCTTTAGTTGAAGTAGTAACATACTTTGTGGCTTTTATAAAAGTTTTAAAATACATAGATTATCTGTTGACTTAACTGTTTTAGCTTTTTAAAATCTGTTTTCATTGCTTTTATTCACTTAAAGAATCTTCAAACAAGGATAATTCAGTCATATATATAATTATGATAAATTAAAGTGAACATTAAAATTATCTACTTTAAGTAACACCAACATACAAACAACAAATAGATTTAATCTGGCTACTGTGTATTCATGAAAACCACAAAAGAGGTTGCAGTCTGACATTCAAATAGATCTGAATGAAAACCAACTTAGTGGCTGAATTCAAATTGGAATAAATGTTAGCTAGGACAGCCTAAGGCAGTGGTGGCGAACCTATGGCACGCATGCCAGAGGTGGCACTCGGAGTCCTCTCTGTGGGCACGTGCGCCGTTGCCCCAGTCCTGCCTCTGCCCAGCAGCATCCCCCCCCCGGAGAAGAGTCACCCCCAGGCACGGCCTGCACAGAGCAACGCAGCTAAGGACATAACCAGGCGACAGGAACAAAACTCCACCCTTGCGCCCCATAGCGTGCAGATGCTGTGGGGTGTGGGCAGAGGGCGTGGCTTCCATGGTGCTGCAGGGCTGCCTGGGAGATCTGCTGCAGCAGACCATTGAGGCGATGCGTAGCCCTGTGGGCAGGCGAGGCAGGGGGCAGGCATAGCGGGGGCGGGGGTGGTTTTGGGGCACTTGGTCTCTAAAAGGTCCGCCATCACTGGCCTAAGGAGATCCAAAGATTTTGCTTCTTGATTTCATTTAACTTCAATATTATTTCTAAACCTGGTTGCCTTAACTATGGATTATTGCAATAAACCAGTTTGATAAATATTGCATCTGAACTGGGAATTTATATTAGTTACCATTTGTTGGATCAAAAATAGAAGAAAAAAAAGGATTTTGATTTTTTTGGGTAGGTCCAGAAGGAAATGGGAGAAGCTTGTAAACTTACTGTCATTCAGTTTTAAGATCTGAATGGTGTGATTAAAATCCTGCCGGTTGAAAATTAGATTTTAATTACCAAGATCAAATTAAAAACAGTTAATCCCAACCACATTTTACACACAGATGCTTATTAAATTATCTTGACTGCAGGGTAATTTTTGAACAAGCAAAATTACCTTCCAAGAAGTAGGTGGCACAAACAAGTGCAGAAGAGGACTTTGCCTATTTTGTAGTGTGAAAGATCCTCCTTGCACCATAAAATATATATTCTGGGAACCAATAGGGAGGAGATGTCTTAATTTTCTTTCTCTAAACTCTGCTAACTTTTGCTCCTTTTGGAATGCATTTCCTCTCTCCTGGGAATCCAGACAATACTCCATCACCAAAGGACACCATATAGGATCTAGTTAGAAAGTTAATTTTTCTTCCTGCTTACTGATGACAATGATATTTCCTCCCTGCCCACTCATCCATTTTCCAACCTATATATGAATTCAGGTAGGCGTGCTTGAGATGAGTCAGGATCCATGTCTGAAACCTTCACAATTACAAGTCTCAAGCTGATAAAGATCTGCAGAGACACTTTAGAACCATTTATATTAGTTCATGCAAGACTTTTTATACCAAACTTTGCTGGATGGTTCATTCAGCAATATAATACTAAACTAAACTATCATTTATTTATTAAATTTATTTGCTGCCCCTCTTGTTTAGAAGCCACTCTGCATGTATCTGGTCAGTTCGTGTCCATATTCTACTGTATGACTTTTCTGCAGTTTATGCATTGACAAAAGTGTTTAAAGTAGGGATTTCTGAAACTTACATTCTTTTTAAGAGATGTAGCAGTTCGCCATCAATTTGCCGTGACTGCCATCTAGTGTCAGGAGTTGTCCAAGATTAAGGAGATACTGTATCTAAAAACAAACACATAATCTGAACCTGCTCACGTGGAAGTGACACCTTCTTAATACTGCATTGATATTGATTGAGCTAAGGAGCATGATAGATATACAAAAAAGATGGACAGCAGGAAAATCAAGGAAACTTATATTCATTTGCAAAAAAAAACAACCTTCAACCTTGGCTCTGAAATTAGCGGTATTAACAAGCCTTAATAATGCTTTTGATAAAAGCTTTGCTCACTACTTAAAGAATGATCCTCTGATTAATTGGAAGCTGGTCTTAACTTTCATCTTACTTTGGACATTCTTCCTAAAACTCAGCCTTTTGCTGCAACCTGGAATGGAGACAATGCAATTGATTGTGTCTTTATCTCCCACCACATGTGTAAACCTATGTGCTAAGTTTTAGCTATCAAGCTGTCACTCTGAGACAGGTCTGTGAAGTATCTGCTGTTAGCAGAAGACCTAAACTATTTTAGTCAATGCTGCCTGATGTCTGCAGTTATGGTGAATATTCAGACTCAATTTGTTATTACATAATTATTTTGAATAAGATACAACTCAAGCTTTTATCTTTGGGTCTCTTTCTCTTCTTTTATCTCTCCCTATTTACCTTTCATGTTCTTTTCCGACTTACCTCCTTATTCCTTAGGACCTATCCTTGTCCTATAGTAGAGTATCCATCCTTGACAACTTGCTAGCTGGGGAATTCTGGGAGTTGAGGTCACAAGTTTTAAAGTAACCAAGGTTAGAAATCCCTGCTGGCCCACCTCCTGATTTCTGACTTTAAAAGAGGCAGCATTTGCATCTTGGGCTGAGTTCCATCATGGCATAGCTACAAACCAGAAGACTTGTGCTCACTGCCTCTTTGTGCTAGCAGCCAGCTTCTGAGATGGGCTAACAAACTATGCTTAGAATGATGCGTCAAAGTCTCAATTCTTCTTTGAAAAAGCCAAAGAAAGAAACCGTGTTTTGTTTTAACATTTTGCCCTCTTAATATCTTCAAGACATTGTCAGTTACACAATGGATAAAATGAATTTTAAATGCTTCATTTGAGTTTTGATTCTATTCTTGTTTTTCTCTTTTTTCAGCTTTTGGCTTTTCTTCAGGGATTATTTACATTTTACCATGAGGGATATGAGCTGGCCCAGGAATTTGCACCTTACAAGCAACAGTTGCAGTTCAATTTGCAGAATGTAAGACTAAATTTCATTTACTACAATTTTTTTTTTGAATAATTGAATACCTTTATGATGAATCCCCAATTCAGTTACAATTTTGAAACCTCCAGAAAGTAAAATGAATAATTTCAGGCATAAATGCACAATCTTTCCTGCATTGCTTATTACATTTATTGATTTATTATGAAATTTATTTGTCTCCCATCTCGTGACTCTGGGCAGCTTACAATATAAAACAAAAGTATTAAAAATCATCAATTATAAATTATGATTCCAAGGTAGAGACATTTCAGGTCTATTGCTATTGCTACTGCTACTTTGTACATTTTGAATTATACCTTAGTTATATAATAATAATAATAATAATAATAATAATAATGCTGGAAGGGACCTTGAAGGTCATCTAGTCCAACCCCCTGCTCAGGCAGGAAACGCTATACCATTTCAGACAAATGGCTATCCAGTCTCTTCTTTTTTTTTTTTAATTGAAAATTTTATAAACTTTTTACAATAAAATACCTCCCCCCCTCCCACCCCCCATAACCCTCCCCCCTCCTTCCCAGAGCTGAATACAGGGTTAAAAAAAACAAAAAAAACACATACAAATTAAATGAACATCAATCAACTATACATACATCCCAAAAAATTAAAAGTACTTTAACTCCAATACATTAAAACCAACAAATCCAACCATAGCCACGTTAAGCTATAAATTATTCAAAAGCTAAATAATACTTTCTAATCCCATACTTATTCTGTACAAAATTTACCCATCTTTTCCACACAGAATTATATCTCTCTTGTGAATAGACCATTCACAAGAAAGACAAGACTATCCAGTCTCTTGTTAAAAACCTCCAGTATTGGAGCATTCACCACTTCTGGAGGCAGTTTGTTCCACTGGTTAATTGTTCTAACTGTCAGGAAGTTTCTCCTTAGTTCTAGGTTTCTTCTCTCCTTGATTAGTTTCCATCCATTGCTTCTTGTCCTGCCTTCAGGTACCTTGGAAAATAGCTTGACTCCCTCTTCTTTGTGGCAGCCCCTGAGATATTGGAACACTGCTATCATGTCCCCCCTCATCCTTCTCTTCATTAAACTAGACATACCCAATTCCAGCAGCCTTTCCTTATATGCTTTAGCACAATGATGGCGAACCTTTTAGAGACCGAGTGCCCAAAGACTGGCCCCGCCTCCACCATCCCCTGCCCCACCCCCACTCTGCACCCCCATCCCCCACCCCGCCTGCCCACAGGACCACACACCGCCTCCAAGGCCTGTCGCAGATCGCCCAGGCAGCCCAGCAGCGCTATGGCAGCCACAACTCTCCCCGCAGCCTGCAGCATCAACTGCATGATGGGGTATGAGGGCAGAGTCTTGTCTACGCTGCCTGGGTGCCATGTCCTTGACTGCGCTGCTCCGTGTGACCACGCTCGGGGGCAACTCTCCTTCAGGGGGGCTGCTGGAGAGGAGGTCGTGGGGGGAGGCAAGGCTGGGGCAACGGCACATGTGCCCACAGAAAGGGCTCCGAGTGCCGCCTCTGGCACCTGTCCCATAGGTTCACCATCACTGCTTTAGCATATAAGTTCAAGATGTACTAAGAGAAGATTCAATACCCTTCCAGGTACTGAATTACTGTTTTCATCAAGCCTTCCCAGGAAGGCCAGCTAGAAGGAACGGCTGCTGGAATTGGGTATGTCTAGTTCAATGAATAGAAGGACGAGGGGGGACATGATAGCAGTGTTCCAATATCTCAGGGGTTGCCACAAAGAAGAGGGAGTCAAGCTACTTTTCAAGGCGCCCGAAGGCAGGACAAGAAGCAACGGAAACTAATCAAGGAGAGAAGCAACCTAGAACTAAGGAGAAACTTCCTAACAGTTAGAATAATTAACCAGTGGAACAACCTGCCTCCAGAAGCGGTGAATGCTCCAACACTGGAAGTTTTTAAGTAGAGATTGGACAGCCATTTGTCCGAAATGGTATAGGGTTTCCTGCCTTAGCAGGGGGTTGGATTAGATGACCTCCAAGGTCCCTTCCAACTTTACTACTACTATTATTATTATTATTAAGAGCGTTGGTTCCCTTTTCCTCTTTGAGAGAGATGGGCAATTTCAAAATTTGATAAAATAAAAAATTAATTTTTTAATGGTTCAATACACATATCTCTAATTTGATTTCTTTTTTTTTAAGGATATGGAGGCAGGCTAGTTAGAGTTTTGAGAATATGCTATGAGTTCCTTTACAAGATGGAAGTACATGGTAGTCCTCGATTTATGATCACAATTGAGCCCAACATTTCCATTGTTAAGTGAGACAGTTGTTAAGTGAGCTTTGCCCCATTTTACAACCTTTCTTGCCACAGTTGTTAAGTGAATCATTGCGGCTGTTAATTAGTAAGACAGTTGTTAAATGAATCTGGCTTCCCCATTGACCTGTCAGAAGGTTCCAAAAGATGATCACATGACTCCAGGACATGACAACCGTCATAAATATGAGTCAGTTGCCAAGTTTCTGAATTTTGATCATGTGACCATAGGGATGCTGCAACAGTCATAAGTGTGAAAAACGATCATAACTCACTTTTTTCAATGCCATTGTAACTTCAAGCAATCACTAAATGAATTGTTGTAAGTCGAGGACTACATGTAATGTGGTTATACTCAGCTAAAAAGCACTGCTTAACTGGAATGTTATCTGCCACCCACCTTCCTGGCCATCGTTACCTTTTATTGTTTTTCTCCACAAGTGGACAAACTTCAAAGCAGAGCATACAGTATGCTTTGATCATTTTTGTTTTTATTTTCCTTTTTCTTACTGGCCTGTTGGAAGTCCAGATGCATTCTGAAAATAAAAATGCTGAGAGCAGAATTTTGTTCTGCAGCATGCCAACTTTCTATTTTATGAGATTTCTATAAAAAATGGGATAGGATCAGTGGTGTGATTCAGCCGGTTCGCACCACTACGGCAGAATCGCTAACTAATTTTTTGTTGCCCAGGCCCAGAATGGACTTTTGGAAGTGGCATCCACACAGAGAACCAATTGTTCACATATTTGAATCCCACCACTGGATAGGATCCTTACGAATTTCAGGTGTGGGGTCTTTGAGTGCATTGGAATCCATGAACCTCACCTTGAGTATAGCAAGTTTAAATAGACATCATGACATCTAGAAACATAATCTCAATAAACAGGAGTGAATATGTCACAAGATGCATTTTATATTCAGTTCTACATTCTAATGTAGTTTCCCCCTCCTCCCATCTTAATCCCAGATAACTGGAATGTGTAAGTGGTCCAACAAAAATATTAGGATGAGTTAGTCTGAAAATATGCTTCATGCTAAATAGCTTATTAATATAAAGGGCAATGATTGAAGAGAATGAAGTAAGTCAATTGTGGATGTCAGTCTTCAAAATACTTTTAACTCTTGGGCTGCAATCTGTCTTGCCTTTGGGGCAAATCCACATTGCTGCCAGAAGGAGAGAACAGATAAATAGAAGTTTCTTGATCTCTGAAGAGAGAGTAAGAAGAACCAAGAAAAGGAAAACAGTGAGCCTCATACAAACCTCAAAATGTCAACAATTCAAAACTGAAGAAGCAAAAATTTCATATTCACTGTTGCACATTTATGGTCCCTCAATAGAACTGTAAAATCTGACCACAGCAAGCAAAAGGAAAGTGTGTAGTAAGATCATATTTAAACTGTTGGTTTTAAAAGCACCAGAGGTCACTGTTGTTCTAACTTTATATTTTGAAAGTGCAAAGGGAGTGTGCATTTTAGCAAAAACACTAAGGAAATTTACAGGTCATTGTTAGATTAGTTCCATCCCACAACTCTGGTTACATTTCACAATGATTCAGTGCCAATTGTTGACCTTGTTAAAAGCACCTGTGCTTATTGTTAAAGATGTCATCTTCAACAGTAAGTTGAAAGGGGGAGGAAAAACTCTTTAATTCCTGGATTTTTTTTTTTCCCTGATTTGGTGCTTGGCTAAAAATAATAAATATCCTCCAAGGCCATTTTACATGAATGTGATAATGCTATTGCCCTGGAGTCTTCTTATTTTATTAGCAGAGCAGAGATTCTGTGTCTGTACTTGAGAAAAATATAGTTGCAGTTTGGTTTTTCGTCACAAGCGCTAATGGAGACCTGCAGTACTCCTATACTAGCTAATTGTATATTAATATACAATACTGGTGTTCTCTTCGGATATATAGTTTGCTTATTAATAGCCTTTTTTGTACGCAGAGGAGTTATGAAGGCAAATACATTTAATATATTAGATTCTGTAGACATTAGGCAGAATAGTTCTATTAAATGGAAGTAATCCTCGACTTCCAACAGTTCATTTATTGACCATTGGAACTTACAACAGCACTGAAAAAAGTGATTTATGACTCTTTTTCACACTTACGACCATGGTCACATGATCAAAACTGAGACGCTTGGCAATTATCTCATATTTATGATGACTGCAGTGTCCCAAGGTCATGTGATCACCTTTTGCAACCTTCTGACTAGCAAAGTCAATGGGGAAAACAGATTCACTTTACAGCCATGTTACTAACTTAACTAGAATGAATCAGTTAACGACTATGGCAAGAAAGATTGTAAAATGGGGCAAAACTCACTTAACAAATGTCTCCCTTAACAAGATAAATTTTGGGCTCAATTGTGGTCATAAGTCAAGGACTACCTGTATATATATCTCATTAATGGCCCTTGAAGACACTTATGCTGTGTCGTTTGTTTTTAATGTGTGCATGAAGGTCGTGAAGAAGTCTTATGTGAAAAACCGTAAAATAATTGGAAAAGGTTGAAAAGCTGTAGACTTTGCTTGGGCTGTAATACTTATAGTTGCAAGCAATAGGCTGTATGTTTGAATGTTTGCCAGGGGAAGAGAGAGAACTAAAAGATAATACGAAAAGACCATATTATGACACGATAGGTTTGGTTGGGATGCAGAAGGACGTAAGGAAAAAAATATTCATTTGGATACTTCATACATTCAGAAACATTGGAGCAAGCTTATAGTTCTGCCTTAGAAATTTTACATAGAAATGGAGCAATGACCTATGCAGAAGTAAACTACTAATTGTACTAGATCACATCCAGAACAGAATGCGTATAACTCAAGATCATCCTTTTTCTTTTTCTCTGCCTTATTGCTTAGACCAGGAATAATTTTGAAAGCACCCGTCAGGAAGTGGAACGACTTATGCAGAGAATGAAGTCTGCCAGCCAGGATTACAGGCCACCCAGCCAATGGACTATGGAAGGTTACCTCTACATACAAGAGAAACGTGAGTAGTCAATAGGCCACACTATATATTTATAAGTTGACCACAGGTTAATACACATCATAGAGTTAAATGCACATTATATGTACTGGTAGTCCTCAATTTACAACCACAATTGGAACCAGAATTTCTGTTGCTAAGCCAGGCAGTTGTTAAGTGAGTTGTGCTCAATTTTATGACCTTTTTTCTCCAGTTGTTAATTGAAACACTGCAGATGTTAGGTGAATCATGCAGTTGTTACGTAAACCTGACTTCCCCCTTGTCAGAAACCAGCTGAAAAGATCGCAAATGGAGATCACATTATTCCAGGATGCTGGAACTGTCATAAATACAAGCCAGTTGCCAAGCACCCGAATTTTGATCACATGACTATATGAAGAGTGTGACTGTCACAGGGACATTTTTTTCAGTGCCATTATAACTTCTAACTAAATAATTATTGTAAGTTGAGGACTACCTGTATTCTTTTCTATTAATTGATTCAGCCAGATGTTCAGACTGGTTTTGGCATTTTAACCCACCCATCAAGTCTTTCCCAAGTATCTGGGATAGGCAGATGCTGATGTTTTATGGTGTTAGAGATATCATAGCATGGAGTTCCAACCTTTCCAGCTTTGCGGACTGGTGGGGGAGGGGAGAGAGAGGATGGTTTCACATGAGTGGCCGGCAAACATGCACACGCAGCTCCATTGGCATGAGCATCATGCACGCACATCTGCTGCTCTCACAAATGGAGCGCACGTGCACATGCTCCTTGCACAAGTGGGGATGTGGATCCATGCATATGCTCCCCCACCATTTCTGCAGCCTACTTGTAAACACCTCATGGCCTACTAGTGGGCCGTGGCCCAGAGGTTGGGGACCCCTGTTATAGCAGGACATAAGCTTTTCTTGAGTAATTGACTGATAGTGAATTTGTCAATGGCAATGGTGTTAAAATTCCAGTTGTTTTGGGATTGTACCCAACATGCCTATTGCTATTGGTACTACCTTTGCTTTCTTCTATGATATTATTATACCTATTCCTATTATCAGCCCATATCATTGCACTGTATAAGGCCTTTTGTTGAGAGTTTTACTATTTTACTATTGGATATACATATTTTAGTAAAATTATTAGAAAGATAAGAAAGATAAGGCACCTGCACATTGAGGTAGAAAGACCAAATGCTAGAACTGATCTGTATTATAAACCATTAGAGAGAAGTAACCAATAAACAGGTGATTTTGTAGTAGCAGTTTTTAAGTAAGATTGTTGCACATTTCAAGAAGTCATCAAATGGCAGAAGCTTTTCGTAGATTCCCAAGGAGTTGTCATCATTGTATCACATAATAAGAGCAAGAACATGGTTGTTCCTGGGATGTCAATCAGATATATTCATTTGATTTGTTTCTCAGTATTGTGTGACCACTTGAAGGTGACTGTTAAATTGTTGGCTCTGGAATGGAGATGTTCAATTGCCTAAAAGCAAATCTCCAAGGACCAAGTAGCTTGAGATTATGGTTGTCTTACTGAGATGTTTTGCCATTTCTTCCTATTAAACAGCTTCTAAGTAACAAAAAAAAATTGGTCTTTCCTTCACAATTATTTTCCAAGGCAGCTTTGCCTGCTTCAGAATAGCATCAGAATAGCATCAGCTTCTTTTTTTCCTATCCTTTAATTAACTGATAATAATAAAAGGCGACTCCCACTCTAAAGGTCTCTGTTAAGCGGAAATTATTTTGGACATTATTAAGAGGAGAGCAAGGACATAGGAAAATGCCAGGCACACTCAGTGCTTCATAAAGCAGCGAAAGGCCAAGATGACACACTGTCGTAGTGGAGGAAATTATTTGCTCATTTGTTTAGGCTAAGGGAAAAAGATGACCCAAATGTAATCTTGGTCTCAGATTTACAGTAAAAGCACTAATTGTTCTGTGATCATCTTGGTTCGGGCTATGCAGAGTGAATGGGAATGTGTGTTTGTCCTCCTATATGGCAGACCAACTTACTTATTTATTTATTATTTTTGTGTGGTAATTTTGAGATGGGTGATTAAAATAGATCGGGTTTCCCTATGTATCTCAAAATACCCAGTGCTAATTTTGGGGAAACACCTAAAACATTTTTTAATTTAATATATCTCCCATGAAAAGATAGAGGGATGGGCATTTTCCTTTTTTTTTCAACCTTTGTTTTTAATTTTGTACGCTTCCCAGAGTCATATGAGATCCTTGATGCCTCTCTGAGCTTGATGGTTTTCTTGCAGACGTTTCACTACCCAACTAAGTAACATCATCAGTGTGTCGTCTACAATATTTTAATAACAATTACTTTATTCTATATTACTATAGTATAAATTTTATCATAAAATATTTCTTTGTTATGAATTTTTTGTTCTAGTGACATGCAAAAAAAACAACCTTATTTTTTTTTCTTCTTTTTAGGACCGCTAGGATTTGCTTGGACAAAACATTATTGTACATATGACAAAGGGACCAAAGCATTCACAATGAGTATTTCTGAAGCCAAATCTGGAGGGAAAGTTGTAAGTATCATCACAAAGACTGAATTACTTTTTAGTCATTTGCTTACCAAGTTTACCAAGGACAGTGTTTCCTTTAGCAAATTGTACTTAATGTATTATTAGGAAGATTGGTGTATGTGTGTTCAGTATTCTTATGGAATAGGTCTGCCTTCCAGTGGAAAAAAAAATTGATTAATTTTTGAGTTTGAATTATCCTTCACATTCATTTACATATATTGACATGTTATGGGTCTGAAAGAAAATTGGGCTTCACTGATGTCAGTATCTCCCAGAATATTTATTTATTATTTTATTAAACAAAGTATATGGCAAAATTATACTATAGTCTATTCTGTTTCAAGGAGACTTGTTTATTTGTATCCTGCCTTCATTATTTTTACAAATAACTCAAGGCGGTGAATATATCCAACACACGCTTCCTCCTCCTATTTCCCCACAACAACAACCCAGTGAGGTGAGGTAAGCTGAGAGAGAGAGAGAGAGAGACTGGCCCAAAATCACTCAGCTGACTTTCATGCCTAAGGCGGAACTTGAACTTCTGGTCTCCTGCTTTTGTAGCTCAGTGCTTTAACCACCAGACCAAACTGACTCTCTCTCTCTCTCTAGTCTGTCATAAGTCTTAAAATGTAACACTTCTTTTGTCTGCCAAGATAAGATTTGTAAATGTGATAATGAAAAAAAGTAAACTGTAGAGTGATGCCAGCATGGTGCTCAGTTATAATTATTTCCTGTATACAGAGAGCAGAAAATTCATTTAAAGAGCCGCTATAATGTAATGCAGTAGTTCTCAAGCTTTTCTTCATCACAGACCCCTTTTGTGACCACTTACCTCCAAGACTTAACTCAAGATTTAAATCATAACATTCAATAAAAGAATGAATAAAAATAATGCACTCCGGGATGTAGAATAACCTTTTATTACTGAGCTTTCATCAACTAGCTGTTGACATCATCAGAATAAGGGCTGAGAATAAAGGAGAACCTACATGTGTGCTTGTGTGACCATTTTTAACGGTCAAGACATAGAACGCATATATAGCATGCTCACAACACACTCGCTCACATTTAGTCCAATAGTTCCGGCTTTGCTGCAAAAGCCGGTCGAGTTATATATATATATATATATATATATATATATATATATATATATATATATATATATATATATATGTAGGTCTTTGGTTGTTCGGGTTTTCTCCCGCGTAAAATTGGAAGTGTCTTGGCGACGTTTCGACGAAGTCCCATTCGTCATCTTCAGGCTGGTGTTTTCAGCTTCGTGCTTCGAGCAGCAGTAAAAGCAATTGCTGCTCGAAGCACGAAGCTAAAAACACCAGCCTGAAGATGACGAATGGGACTTCGTCGAAACGTCGCCAAGACACTTCCAATTTTACGCGGGAGAAAACCCGAACAACCAAAGACCTACATACAAACACCCGCGAAAACCTCAGAAAACATATATATATATATATATATATATATATATATATATATATATATATATATATATATAATTTTTTATAATCACAAATGCTTAATATTTTATCAGCAACATATTGTCTGGGTTCCAACATTTAACTTACTAATACATGTTAAATTCCCTTCTCTCTACCTCATTTTTCTAGCCATTGATAAAAGGTATCCCATGTTCTATACTGAATCTTTTTTCTCTTTCATTTTCAATATCAATCTATCCATTTCTGCACAATTTAATTTTTTTAATTAACCCTCCGTTGGTAAATCTTCATTTTTCCACTGTTGAGCGAATGTAATTTGCACTGTAGTTAATCATAACATTTCTTCAAGCCTTCGCGGACCCCCTGTGATGATGTCATAGCCCCCCTAGAGACCACAGGTTGAAAACTACTGATCTAATGGCCTAATAGGCACCAAGCTAGAAATTGGCACCACATTAGCTAGGTGAGATTGGACCAGTCCCTCTCTCTCAACCCTACAAAGAAGGCAATGACAATTCACTTCCGAACTCTTGCTAAGAAAACTGCTGGGTGTATTCCAGGCAATCCCCAGGAGTCAACACTGACACAAAGACCAAGAAAACCAATAAGTTGCCTTTAGTGAAGAACTTAGACATTGGCTGATTTTAGCTTCTCCAGAAATAAAGCCAATGGAGATTACAGTATATTTTGTAACTCCAGATTCCAGTATGGATTTATTAGTTAAACTGACAAAAAGTTTCTTAATGCTAAATAAGGCAAATGTCTGCAGAATCTGTTGCAAAAGAGATATTCTCCTTTCTCTTGAATGAATGCCTCAATCAAAATACTTCCTGAAATAATATGTGAACACTACTTAAAAACAAAGGTAAATATGCATGTCTATGCAAATGTAATAAATGTAGAAAGAAAGTATAGATCTGCTAGATCAGACCCATACATATTTTAAGTCTGTATTTTGTTTGTTTCATGGCCAATAAGATAGCTCTGGGTTAATATTAATATTAAGCAGGTGCTGGAGATAAATCTGTCTCCCAATGCCAAGTTGATTATATTGCCAAGTTGATTAACCAAAGCTCCTGTGTTTCATAATTACAGTTTCTTTATCTTGATTGGCAGTTAATTTGCGTGTGTAATAAGTAATGAATGATTCTTCATTCTATCTTTAAATGTTCTGATTTTTTTGTAGAATGGCCTTGTTCCAAATTCACCAGAAGTGTTCAAGCTGAAATCCTGCATCCGGAGAAAAACAGATTCAATTGACAAGCGCTTCTGCTTTGATATCGAAGTTGCCGAAAGGTTTGAAATTTTAGAAAGGGTGATTTTTTTATTCTCTTAAAGAAAAAACTGCCTTGGTGCCCTACGGAGGCATTTTGTGAGCAATCTGCATACCACTTGACCCCACAAGCCTTTTTTTTCCTGTTCCCAAAATCTCTGTAGATTATACAAAATGTGATGGAAACCTGTTTCTTATGGTAATAGTTTTCTACTTCTTAGAAATAAAACAAGTATATTAAGTCCTCCAGAATAATTTTACCTGTAAGCAGTGGTGGGATTCAAATACCTGAACAATCAGTTCTCTGCATGGATGCCACTTCTTGAAGTCCGTTCTGGGCCTGTGATTTCCAGAAGTGGCATTCGTGCACTTTTGTTGGGCTGTTCTAGGTCTGGAGGGACTTCCAGAAGCGGTGTGCATTCAGCTGGTTCTCCAAACTCAACAAAAAAATAGCTACCAGTTCTCCTGAACTGGTCCGAACCGGCTGAATCCCACTACTGCCTGTAAGCAGCTGTCCTTAGGTCTCCTTCATGACTTTGCAATATTAAGCATCTAATACATCCTTCAATAGTAGATAGTTCTCCTAGCAACTATTATTTTACCACATCAAAGCAAACTTATCACTGATTTAAAGTAAATGGCGAAAATAAAATATTCTGAAATGAATAATGATCTTCTCAATCCTGAACACTATTTTTTAATAAAATAATAATACAATTTGAATTTGTCTCCTTGAAAAATCCTCTTTGACCTTACCTTGCTTTTCACTTTTTAAGAACTTTTAATCTTTGTGTTTTTTCTGCTGTATTACTGTGTTAACTTTATTAAGCTTTTGGTCCTAGAAAATTTCCACTTGGGAAACTTGTAACAAGCAAGAACATTTTGTGTTAAGAATAGAAGCATTTCCCTGATGAGAACTTATTTTAGATATGCTCAGCTGAATTGTAGTATCTAACACCTTTTCATCTTTTCTGTTTTACACTTTTATTTAGTATAGTCTTCAGATTCAGGGAAACAAAAGTGAATAACCAGGTTTCTGATTTGTATGTGGTACTCTTTTTTTTTTTTTAAATAGACATGGGATCATTACCCTGCAAGCTTTTTCTGAATCCAACAGAAAACTTTGGCTAGAAGCTATGGATGGAAAAGAACCTGTAAGAAAAATATTTGTTTCTCTCTTGCTAGCTGTGTGTGTGTGTGTGTTTTTTTGTGTGTGTGTAATTTTTATAAGTAACAAACACAAAATTGTTATACATGCCATTTAAAAATATACGTGCAACATAGCTGTCTTAAAATACAAAGCTATATTTTTATTAATTAATTTGTCCTGACTTGATTTACCACAAGCTATCTCAGTGATTTACTATAAAAATAAAGTGAATATCAGGACACCAAAAGAAATTAAACTAGCAAATAACTGAAGTTAGAAATAAAGAAGCTTCTTGTATGAGAAGCTAAACATGAAACATTTTCAAAGAAAAAACAAAGTCAGTTGCCTTTTGGAAAAAGCAACTTTGGTACAATTGGCATGGGGGTCTAAGAGTAATATGCAACCCTACCACCTCTTTAACTTTTTCAATTTAAATTTATAATCTCTAATTTTAATTTGTTTTTAATTCTATTTTTAATTCTATTTTTTATATTTCTGAATATATTTTTTTATTTGTAAAAACCCCCAGAGTCATTTAGGTAGTGTAGAAATTTGATAGATAGATAGATAGATAGATAGATAGATAGATAGATAGATAGATAGATAGATAGATAGATAGATAGATAGATAGATAGATGATACATACATACATACAGTGCATAGATACATACATACACACAGTACATAGATACTTACATACATACATACATACATACATACATACATACATACATACATACATACATATTATCTAGGTTGTTGTAGAAGTACATGAAAGGAGGCATCTGTAGATTGGTGAGAGTTGCATCCCATCAATAATTTATTCATTTATTTTATACTTGATTTATATGGCTGCCCATCTCACCAATGCACCTCTGGGCAGCCAACAAGAACTAAAATATTTTTATAAATGCAGTTCCCAGCCAACTAGTATAAATGGGCTCCCTAAAACACCATTAACTAATAGCATAGACTCAATTACTCTTCTAGGCCCAATGTCTGGAAAAACAGCCAGGTCTTTAAGACTTTCTAAAAGATGAGCAAGGTTAGGCCAGTTGAACCTTTAGTGGTTTGTTGTTCCAAAGGGCAGACGCAGCTACAGAAAAGTCATGCTTCCTGGGTCCCCCCCCCCAATGATGTCTAGGAATGATGGGAATCAGGTAGTGTGGTCGAATGTAATCCAAAGTTGCAGGAGGGAGGGGTTGTTTCCCAGAGAGCAAAGACGCAACATAGCTTGGAATCTTTGGTATGCAGAAAGAGAGTGAAGGTGAATCCTCCCTAGCAGTTCACAACAATATCTAATAGTTATACAGATAGTACTTTAGTCTGGCAAGATTCCTGTCTATACGGGAATAACAATCACTCTAATAAGAAAAAAGTGAAATAACTCCATCTGATTTTCAAAAAATTACCTTATGATAATACAACTTTGTTCTTTTTAGATTTATACTCTACCAGCTATTATTAGCAAGAAAGAAGAAAGTAAGTTGAATTTTAATGATATGAAATAATTATGTATGGTTTTTTTAAAAGTTGTAAATATTTCCTGCTTTTTTCCACATTTTCTTCTACTATTATCTTCCTCTGCCATTCAAGTCCTCAAATAGCCCAGCTAAATAAAATGTTCCAGTGTAGGTATTTGATTGCTACTTTACATATTTTTAAGAATATAGCTTGCTTGCTTACTAGTGAAATACTCTTAGGCTACAATCTCACTAAGCTGAGAGTTTCTAAACATGGTTTCCTGTTATTAACCTATCATTCTAAGTCAAAAATAAATTAAATTAAAAACTTGCAGAATAACTTATTTTATGGCTAAAATGTTGACAAAACTGTAATAATATTATTTAGACTTTAGGAAAAGAATTCATGATCAAAATGTTATTGGGGCTTTCTAACTGCAAGAAAAATGTTTCATTTGTATTTCTGGGAACAATCACACCTATGAAATGCCATATGAATCACACAAGTTTTGCCAGTCTTCTCATCTATTTTTCAACAAAATAATTTCTTTACCTTGAAAACAGTTTGGGGCAGGGATTGAAAGAGCAGAAGTATTTCTTTTCATCTTAAATGTTTTTCCTTAAATAATATTCCACCCCTTTTTTCTTCCCATGGGAGGAAAAACCAAAATTTTCTCAATCAACAAGACTTCAGTTTGTAAGCGTTTGATATTAGCTGTCTGCTGAAAGCAACATTCAGAAGATAACAGAATAAGGCATGACTATTTTTTTTCATTCTATGTATGTTAGATAAGCCCCACTCCTCTATCATTCATATATTGTTGCTTCCTTCAGTGTAAACCAGTGGTTCTCAACCTGTGGGTCGGGACCCCATTTGGGGTCGAACGACCATTTCACGGGGGGTCACCAAACAACGCAGTCGGCCATTTTTTCCCCTTTTTCCTTAGCTGTGCTACTCCCTTTTATTCTATTGGCTTTTGAAAGCCAATAGAATAGACTCTCTTGAATAGAGTCTAATTCTATTGGCTTTCAAAAGCCAATAGGAATTGTCCAGGCTGTCTCTGCCCTGCTGAGCCCGCCAAAAGTCCCATTCTGCAAACGGTGCTGCACCAGTTGAGTAGTCCTCGACTTACGACCGGTTGAGTAGTCCTCGATTTACGACCGGTTGGGGGTCGCGGCATTAAAAAGGTTGAGAACCACTGGTGTAAACCATGAAGCTTAAAGGATTCTGATTTTTTCCCCTATGCAAGTTTGGGGAAAACTTTCATATAAATAGCGCATTTTATTTACTTGAGCATGTGTATGGGTGTATATATGTGTTTCCCCTGTCCAGCCAACTCTGTCTCTAGGGGATGGCTCACATCCATTTTTTAACCAAGGAAGCCAGCGTTGTCCTAGGTCATGTGGCCAGCATAATATCATGTTGCAACACAGAGTGTGCAGAAAAGCACAGAACGCTGTTATCTTACCACTGAATTTCCTACATACATACATAAACACACATACACACACACCATCCCTGAGTAACATCCATCTGGAGACATCACATAAGGATTAGATGTTGACTACTGTATTTGGAAAGCAGAGACATCACCCTGCCAACCAAAGTGCGTATAGTCCAGGCCATGGTTTTCCCAGTTGCAATGTATGGCTGTGAAAGTTGGACCATAAGAAAGGCTGAGTGCCAAAGAATTGAGGCCTTTGAACTATGGTGCTGGAGAAGACTCCTGCGACTTCCCTGGACTGCAAGGTGATCAAACCGGTCAGTCCTAGAAGAGATCAACCCCGACTGCTCTTTAGAAGGCCAGATCCTGAAGTTGATACTCAAATACTTTGGCCACCTAATGAGAAGAAAGGACTCACTGGAAAAGGGCCTAATGCTGGGAAAGATTGAGGGCAATAGAAGAAGGGGACGACAGAGAATGAGATGGCTGGATGGAGTCACTGAAGCAGTAGGTGTGAACTTAAATGGACTCCAGAAGATGGTAGAGGACAGGAAGACCTGGAGGAACGTTGTCCATGGGGTCGCGATGGGTTGGACACGACTTCGCAATTAACAACAACAACTATATTTGGATCTCACCAAAGTCTTCCACAAAATCCCTCATGAAATTCTCCTTGGCAACATGTTAAAATATGGTTTACAACTGAGAGCAATAGGTTCTTTATGGTTGATTGTGTTGGCATGCCACACTCACTGGTTAGGGCCTAACCATTATTAATACCAAGTCACACTAAAAATAATTTATACAAATTCAACCCCACTTGGGGCTCAGTGATTAAGATGCTGGGCTTCTCGGCTGGAAAGCTGACAGCCCAGGTTTGAGACCTGAGCAACACATGACAGGGTGAGCTCACCCTAGCTCCTGCCAACTTAGCAGTTTGAAAGCAGCAAATGCAAGTAGATAAATAGGTACCACTTCACTGGGAGTGAAGTGTTCCATGATGCCATGCTGGCTACATGACCACAGAAACCTCTTCAGACAGCGCTGGCTCATTGGCCCTTGAAACAGAAATGAGCACCATCCCCTACAATCAACCACAACTAGTAAAATCCACAGGGACTCCTTTACCTTTACTTTACCATCTCCACTTAGGTGTTTGATCTGATGTCCATATTCCCCAAAACAAAAGAAAAATGTAAAAACTGTGTTTGACTAAAAGACAGATTTAATTGATCAATTATTAATAAATACTTGTATTTTTTTCAAACTTAAAATTAATTAGATGAAAGGTTTTTCTGTAAGTTAGATAATAACTGCAAATGTGTGAAGAGTACAACTCATTGAATATCTGGAAACGTTTCAGAATTTAAACCTGATAAGGTTCATATAAATGCCAAGGTGAATTTCTTGATCACTTTTTTTTAACAATAAGAAAGCTTTCCTAGCATTTTTTAAAATGATTAATAGGAAAAATTGTTGAAAGATGATGTCTATGTATTATGGAAAGGAAATCTTACTGTTTTATTGCTTGTGACAGTCTGTTTTATGCTAGAACCTCTACTTTTGTTTTCCATAATTCAAAATAAGCTAGAGAAGGCTTATAAATATATCTATGAAGCCTACCTTACAGAAATAAATCTACCCATTGAAAAGGCTAAGTAATGTTTGCAAATGCTGTTTGCCTTTCAAGGGTTGGTAATAGCCTGTTTTCCTTCCCCTCTGTGAATGGACGTCAAGTACAGTTCAGCCTGACATTTCATCTTTTCTAATTAGTTTATCATGACATAATTCTCTGCTCCCAACATTTTCTCTTGAATGGTTTGGATTCATTTCTTGAATTCTAAACAAAACACTTAACGTTATGAAGCACTCCTGTCTTCCTTTTTCCCTTATGCCTCCTCGACATAGATGGATAAATTTTAAAAAGTAAAAGTTTTAAGAAAGTTAAATGTTTCAAGTCTAATACTGAGCTTTTCATTTCTCTTTCTGTGCATCTCTGTCTGCATGAGAAGCTAGAATGGGAGATGAGGATCCCATACATCCCATACATCCCAAATATTTCATTTTATTTTCAATACGTGGCCGTCCCCTCTTGCCTTATAGCTTTCTTTCTCCCAATTATTGTACCTCATTCAAAATTAATTGATGTCTAATTGATATTTGAAGTGTCACTTACTCTTTTCAAGGTAGTAAAGTTCCATTCAAAGGCAGAAGAAAAATTATTCAACATAATAGAATAAATTATTCTACCCTGGTTAATATCAAAACCACATTACCTCTTAGGCAATTGAGTTCTAGGGATTCTTAGATTTTTAAAGGCAACAATCAATAAATAAGGAAAATGTTTTGAATTTGTCTGATTTCTAAGACGACATCACTTATACATTCAGAAACTGGGACGCCATTGATTAGAAATCTCTGTTCGGTTAGATCAGTATTTCTCAGTCTCTGCAATTTTAAAATATATGAACTTCCAATTCCCAGAATTCTCCAGCATGCTGGCTGGGGAATCCTGGGAATTGAAGGCCACATGTCTTAAAGTTGCTGAATTTAAGCAACATTGTATTAAACAATACCTTCTATTTTCCTTCTTTTGTTTTGGTTGGGGAAAAAGTGTGCCAAATCAGTAAGGATGGAATTATAGGTGCTGTTCCTAGTTGAATTCATTGCATAAAATGGCTTACTTTTTAGCTTTTTAAAAACCTGGTTGTCTTTCACACTTCAGAAGCAAAATCAGAAGCATACAAGACAACTTGTTATAAATTGTATAAATCGTGATCTAAATGTCAACTGGTTTTCTTACGATTGAACTCAACTAGTGGTGACATCACAAGCATGTCTCATTGTTTTCTTTATAATAGATGAGAGTGATTTTTTTTTTAATCTACATCTATGGTTCTCTCTGCTGATGATAGGATAATGATAATAAGGAATGTGTTTTCTTTAATGCTAATTGTCTCCCGTTTTTTAAAAAAAGTCATTTGATTTCTAATGATTATTATATAATCTTCATCAGGAGTTTAATGATTTTGATAGCAGTGAATTTGGCTTTCTGGTTTGCCTCATGAATGTAATTTTTAGTCTTTTCTTTTGATAGCATTCCTAAATGAAGCTGGCTTTAATTTTGTAAGAAAATGCATTCATGCAGTGGAAACAAGAGGTATGTATTAAAGGGTTGATCTAACAAAACCATTGCAATTAAACCAAACAATTAAATAACTAATTAATTAACACTGCAATTAAATTAATGAATCCTTACCCTTTGGGGCCTGCTGAGCATATGTAAAACTTTGAGAACAAGTTCTCAGTTCAAACAAAATGGTTGCCTTAAGGGGATTGCAGATTCGACTATTTTCAAAGTGTCTGAACTTGTGGCTGTAACTTATTGCAAAATACTAATTGTACCCATGATATTAACTACCAACCACCAGTTTACCTCTTTTTTTCTTTTTTTTTTTCTTGGCAGGTGAGAAACTTTTAAATAAAATGCTGGGCTGTAGTTCTCTATACTTGTTATTCCTATTTAATGAAAGCAATGCATAATTTATATTTCACCTTTGCAATGCCCTCTCTCAAAAATATTAGGCTGCTGTTTATCAGGAGGCTCACTCAGTAAAACCCTAAATTAATCTAAAAATGTAGGCCTTTGGTCTTCAGTGATGTCATTACTAAGCACTTTCTTTGTGCTTGAAGTCTCTTCACTCAACTTATCTTAGTTGGCTGATTTAAACATGATTCCAAGAAGACATTAAACTGTGCAATGCTATACAAGACTGGCTTTTCAAACTATTAAACCTTGCTTGTACATTTCTGGTTCATTGTATTGATTTATTCAATCATTTTACATAGCCACCCATCTCATGAACGTGACTCTGTGTGGCATATAAATAAACATCTTTAAGAAACATTACACATCATTCCACAATAAAAGAGATCATTATTACTATTCTTAATAAAGACCAGGATAGAGCATCTTTGATGTTATATACAATATAACTATCTCACTATTTCTCCATTTATAATCCATAAACTGCTTTATAAAGGAGATGGGCAGCATAAATTTCCCTGAAATCCACAAGCCTGCTGAGATAGCTACATTTTGAGGACTTCCAGAATGTTAACAAGGATGGGGCCAGTCTTATCTCTGGTGGGAATGACAGGGTAGGCGCCATGGCAGAAAAGGGTACATTTGTGCAAATGAATTATTTCAAATATCTGTGACAGACTTCGCAGAATTTTTCTTTTGTGTGGTTGGCAGCAATACCTATGACATTGTTATTGCATTATTCCTCAGTTCCTCTTCCTTCTATGTTAATTTTATCCCAATGATAACCTTGAGAGGGAGATTGGACTAAAAAACTGATTGACTCCAGATTGCTGAGAACTTGAGACAATCATACTTCACTGGCCTTCTCGTTCCTATTCTAAACTGGGCTCTTTTGTCATGTGACCAGGTTGCAAGGAGTGATGGGGTTACTTGTGAATATGGGGGTGGGTGGGTGGAATATGCCCCACAAATGCACTCAGGCCCTATGGATTTGTGAATGCAATAACCATGCATCACAACAGTGGCAAGGTGACAAGACAGTAAATAAGTGGTGTTGAAGCATTCATAATGGATAAAGTCTAACTACATTGTATTCTCATTTATCTTTGAAGGTATTACAATCTTGGGATTGTACCGGATAGGGGGTGTGAACTCCAAAGTGCAGAAGCTGATGAACACCGTCTTCTGTAAGAATATTGAGATGTTCGTTGTACTTCAGTATTTTATTATGTGTTCAGACAGAATCTACTTGAATATATAAGCAAAATAAGCTTGTATTTATCCAACAGCCTTGCTTATTGGAATGTTCCTGTGAAAGAAGGAATTCAAGAGGGAAAAACCCATCTAACTGTTTTAATGGTTAAATATTAATTCTTCCAAATATGCATCTTGGTTGCTGACTACCATTTCCCATTTGCATGTGAAAACATTGCCAGTTGGATGAAATGTGCAGAAAAAAATTAAAGTCCTTTCCTTGTGTTATCCATTTGCCTCCAAAAAAGCTGGCTGAAATAAATTATGACCATCTTGGAATCAGATGAAAAATTTAATTCAGTTAAATTCTTCAATTGTTAAATGATTAGCATTAAATTTACAAGTGAGCTTATCAATTTGCTAGGATAATTGCATTATTCGTAAATGCTGAAACCTTAAAATACTTTTCTTACTTCTTTTCCAATTTTATTTTTTTCCCAATTTTATTTCAACATTATTCTGATGAAATTTTATGCATTAAACTGATATAAAACACCCTAGACAATAGTATACTTTGAGACTCTATATAAGATTTGTAATGTTAAGCTGAAATCTAAGAACAGTTCTATTTCCACAACATTTATAATTAAAGGAGCTGCATTATTATTATGCAAAATAAAACTTATATGGAAGAGAACCTCAAATTTTAAATGCATGAATCAGTTTGGAATCCTTTATAAAATTCCTTTTCATTTTGGAAAGTCATCAAAATTGTTTGTAAAATAAGTCATATATGGCATTCTTTCATAAAATTACATTAATCAGTCTTTCAAGATTATGTTGGAAAGATTGTATTTCGCTTAGTATATGTTACCATATCTGGTGGCAAAATTCTTGTTTTGATTATCATTTTGGTCCCTAGTTTTGAGAAACATTTTGGAGATTATGAGCAATTAAATTTCTGTTGTTGCCAGATATATTTTAGCAAATTATTGAGGAACTGTTTATTTCAGATTATTGTAACTTCTAAGATGCTTCCTTAAACTTCCAATAAAAATGAGAGTTATTCAGTAATCAGATTTAAAACCAAGCACAAATTTTTAGTCTTTTGAAATGATGGAACATTTTGGTATTTATGCAAGATAATCAAACAGTGGCAGAGAATGAATGAATTTTCAGTGACACTGCTAGCAGCTATAACTTGGCAATAGAGAAGGAACATAAAAGCCTTGCCAGATTAGGCTGTAGCTCATCTGGTCCATCATTTTGTATTCCACAATGGCCAACTGGGTGGAAATGGGAAATTGGACTGGAGAGCAAAACCCTCATTCACTCTTGTTTCCCAAGAATCAATTTTTAATGCATTCTGCTTACTATTTAAAAAATAATAAATGACCAACACAGTTAATAGCTATTGACAGCCTGATCTTCCATGAACTCTTCCTAAAGATTTAAATTGATGACCATTCATTATAACAGCTGGCAGCAAATTCCACAGTTTATCCAGTTTTTCTCATGATTCAATAATTCAGTAACTCCCTGCATCTGGTTTCAGTAGCTGACCTTGAGTTGTAATATTGTAAAGGTGGGGGGATTTCTATCCATGTTATCTATGCCACACATGAATGTTCCCTTCTCTTCCCTACACTCTCTTCCCTTCCATACTTCCTCACAACTCATCATTCACACACATAGACCAGGCATGCAAGTCTGCAACCAAATATCCAAGGAGATATTCCCTTGTCAGAGATGAATCCTCCTAGTTTTGGGTCCTCCATTAGCCACCATACCAGGGGCAAGCAGGAAGATTATTCAAAGTTTATTACTGGTACCTCATCAGTATCTAGTATCACTGTCCTAGAGCAGGGGTAGGCAATCTTGGCTCCTTTATGACTCGTGGACTTCAACTCCCAGAATTCCTGAGCCAGCCATGCTGAGGAGAAAGGGACAGGTTTCCATGCTGAGCCACGCCGGCTCAGGAATTCTGGGAGTTGAAGTCCACTAGTCATAAAAGAGCCAAGGTTGCCTATCCCTGTCCTAGAGGTAGGTGTATCAGATTGGAGTTGCTTCTGGTGTATAAACTACCTTGATGTTTGGCATCAGCCCTCAAAGAGCTCCTTGACCTTGTCACTGGGCTTCTTGTGCTGAGGTTCAATTTCCATGCTCCAGGCCCAAGATCAGAAACAGTTCATGGGCATGTCCCAAATTATCTTGCTCATACTCATGAAAGATAGTATGTTGATCTGGCCTTCACTTCATGAAATAAGTGGAATAAGATCCAGATATGGAGGACATTATTACCTATTCTTTATCATGATCAGATCACTTCCTGGTCAATCTGCAAATAGTGCTCAGATTTTCAGAGTCCCAAGAAAGTTTCTGATGAGCATTAAGAGCCATCTGTGGGTGAGATGCTGGCTTATTGTGTTGTATCCCAGTTATCATGACTTTGGTTTCCTTCTTTTGAAGAATGAAGTAATCCGTATTAGTAGTTAAACTGTGTTGGAACAAAATTGCATATAGTTTGACAATTAAGCTACTTGTTCCCAATCATAAATTGTTAATATTGAGCTACTTTTACCCAACTACTGAATATTTGAATATGTACAACTTTTCAGGGCTTCAAGTGATGACACTCATAGTAGTGGTGTCTAAAGTTCCACTGGGAAATGCATTCATCCAATTGCTTTCTCTTTTAATAGCTCCTAAATCTCCTCCTGATATGGACATTGATTTGGAAATTTGGGACAATAAAACTATAACAAGTGGGCTAAAGAACTACCTCAGGTAAGCATAAGTCATGCAAAATTCCAATGTCTTAGGGCAAGTGCTTGTCAGTATCTCTGGCATATACTCTTCAAACCTTACTGTAATGTAGAGAGCATAGTATGGTGTTCGCAGCCACTGATATAGTTGTCTTATTTTCAGTGCATTGTGAATCTTTCCATTTTCAGTTGAGCTTTTCTTAGTTGATATCTAATGCTTACAACACTGGGCAATAAATTTCTTTAACTAGTTAATTTATTTGATCAAAACTGCACAGCATGGTTCACTAATTGGCTATTAGAATCACATAAAACAAGTACAAGTATCTCATTTGTTTAATAAATCCAGTAATGTAGGAAGTTGCATTGTCAAGGAATGAAAAAAATGAAGGTTTTTATTCAGAAAGCAGATTAGTTTTGAATGCATTGTCTTGCATTCTAGACAACCTAATATTGATTTCATTTAAGTGAGCCCTCCAAATATTGGAGTGTAGAGTCCTATCAAATTTGACTGTAAATATACTGAAAAAGTTGTTAAGAGCTCAGACATTCAGAGGGATTATTAGAACAAACTTAAAAGGATTTCAGGTTGCATAGCTATCAGAATTACTTCTACAGTTTTTTGTTTAATAACTGCTGATTGGAGCAGTATTTTTGATAGGATCACCTGAGGGTTTGACTCTTAAGTACTTCTCTTTAATTTAAACATCCTTAGAAGTTTAACCCTAATCAAAGGAAAAATTACTAAAGGTTATCAAAAATAAGGAAGCAAACTGAATTTTAATTAGGGATGTTGTAATTTTGGAATCTTAAACTTCCTTCTTCTGCCCATAATTCAATGAAATCATAGAAGATAGCCCCTTACACTATCAAGCTAATGTTCATTAGTCTCTAAACAAGCAAAGCAATCAAACCCATTTAGGACTTCAGAAATCACCAGAAATCCCAGATCTGTAGGCTAAACAAAACAACCTAAAAATGGCAGTAATAAATCACCACTGTGCTGTAGACAGGAAAATTACAAGGAATAAAGGAACCAAATTTGATAAGAGAAGTCATTCATAGTCCTTTGAGAACTATGAATGATTTCATCACAAAATTTTGTCTCCTGTGCTTCCATGAGCATCCTTCCCCCATGTAAGGTCCTCTAAAGATCATACATCTGGGAAAGAGCAAAGCTGTAGTCCAACTCATCTGGAGGTCACCAGCTTGAAGAAGGCTGCAATAGGGCACGGCAGGAAGCTTTATTTATCATCTCTCCTTCCAGCTGTGTGACTATTTAAGACTTTAGTAGTATTATCCATAATTCACAGCCATGTATGCAAGTTTAGAATGGAGCTAAGGCTAGTGTCTGCTTTGGAATTAAATGTGAATATCTTCAAAATACTACATTCAGCCTCTTTCTATCACTAATTTTTTCCTCAGGTGTCTTGCAGAGCCACTCATGACCTTCAAATTACACAAGGATTTCATCATTGCTGTTAGTAAGTGAAAAAAATGGAGGATAATCGTGGTATTGGGACAAACTATATATAATATACATAATCAGAATTCAGGTTTCTTTATAGATGTAGGTTGCTGTGACATAAATTTGTGTGTGTGTATATATACATACACACACACTGCATTGAAAGTATTCAGACTTTCAATTTTGTTATGCTGTTTTCACTTTGTTATTACTGAGTATAGATTAATGAGAAAAAAAATAATTTCAACAACTGTAGAATCAGGCTGCAGCATAACAAAAATGGGAGTGGGAGGTGAGTTCAGCATTTTCATCTATATATCCCATTTGCTAATCATGTCTTCTTTTGTCCCCTTCCTGCTGGTAGCTTTTGCTATTCATATGACTATTTTATCATTTCTATTTCATAACTTTCTATTTGTGGAGGGCCTCATGCATTTCTGTGTGGTGAAAAATCAGTAGTGTTTAGACGTCTGGTGACATCCTTTGTCAGTTTCTGTTTGTTTAAAGAAATCTTTAGCAATAGCAATAGCACTTAGACTTATATACTGCTTCATAGTGCTTTACAGCCCTCTCTAAGCAGTTTACAGAGTCAGCATATTTGCCCCCAACAATCCGGGTCCTCATTTTACTGACCTCGGACGGATGGAAGGTTGAGTCAACCTTGACCCTGGTAGTCGGCAGAATTAGCCTGCAATACTGCATCCTAACCACTGTGCCACCATACATTCCATTTTTGTTACTGACAATAAGTAGCATGTGATATGATGATGATTGACGTAGCAGAGATTTATATAGATTCTTAGAATTGGAAGGAATCTTAAAGATCATCTTAATCAATGCCTTCCTCAGCATAGGATCCACTAGCTAGAACATCTCAGACAGGACCCAGCTTCTGTTTGAAAGCACGTACTACAGGAGACCTCATTGGGTTATTTTTCTTGTTACTATCTTTTTAACAGAGTCTGATGACCAGAATTACAGAATAGAAGCAGTCCATGCACTTGTCCACAAGTTGCCAGAGAAAAACCGGGAGATGTTGGACATCCTGATAAAGCATTTGGTCAAGTAATAATTGCTTTTTATGTGGGTTGTTTATAATCATAGGAAGAAAGAGAGTGCTGCTGCCTTAAATCATATCCCAAAACAACAGTTATAAATATTCATGACTGGAAATGTATTTATTAATTAGCACACCCTGGAGGTTCCCAATGCGAAGTAGCATTCATTCCATGATCTGTTTACATATTTCTTTTCTGATAAAGAATTATTTTGTAGAAAGTAACTCCAGGCTGACTGACCATTCATCTTTTCATATATATCTGAAAAAACTTGAAATTAAGATGCCAGTTATGTCTCTTGTTCCTGTTGCTATTTAGGTGGACACATTGCTATTTAAAAAAAAAAATTCTTGTGTGTGTGTGTGTGTTTGTGTTTAAAAATTCATTTTTTTAGCTTTTCAAAAACTTTACTTAAAGAACATCTGGATATGGTTCTGCCTTTGATGTTTATAACCATTTCTTGGTGGAATGAAATAATGGAATATAAAGAAGTCAGTTCTGTCTTAGATTAACTCTCAAATGGATTTCAATTAACAGTCCCTACATTTAACTCTATATAAATTGTGTGTGGTTAATGTGTGTTCATCAAAACGTTTCAGCAATAAGCAATGATATCCAATCATTGGATTCACATATTCCATTTCTCTTCTCATGACTATGTATGTTTGATCTCTGGCAGCCAAATACAATAAAAGATGCAACTGAAATTATCAGGGTCACTTTGGTGTGGTAGTTAAGATGCTAAACCAGGTCTAGGAAAAGCTCACAGGTTGACTTTCAGGTGTCATTTGTTGATTAAAGAATTACTAAGCAGATCTAGTATTTTATCTATTGAAAATTTGCCCATGATGTCACATAAAAATATAAAAAACCTAAAGATTGATAATATTTTATCCAGAAATATAGCACAATAAAAGTAGACTTTCAGGAAATGGATATGTTCTTTAATGTAATGACATAAATTTCATTCTCTTATTATTTCAGCCTATTTATATTCATTATCCCAAAATAAAACTGTTATAATAAAATTTCTATCTCATTAGTGTTATGAAAAAGCTATTTTCTAAAATTTCTTCAAGAAACTAAACCTTAGTTCCCATTTCAAAAATTTATGTCCAGTTATTATTTGTCAAGGCAATATCAGCCTCACTTTTTTTATCTAAAAGATTCAGTTTGTCACCAAGGTAGCCTAAGCTTTTCTTGTTAATAAATTACAGTAATATGGAAACTGACATCTGTTTTACCTGTTTTAACTTTACTTACTCAATATTCTTTTATTAGTCAAGATATGAAAATCTTTATAAGACATTCTAGCTGCATACAAAGTTATGTTTAAACAATAACTTGTTATGTTTAAACAATAACTTAAACAATATGAAGCAATAAACTATTCCAACTTTAAATATTGTATTTAATAATATGTAATAGGGTTAGCTTATGAAATTTGGAACTGCTTTAATGTGAAGGAGATAATCACCAAGAATAGCACCCTGCATCAAGTGTGTCCAATGTGTAGGAAAACTTACCCTGAGATATGAATTCCACAATGAGTCCAGGTGACAAATGTTCCAGAGAAGAAATAAATATATAAATATAGGATGCATCCACGCATACAACTCTCAGTAATGAAAAGAGCCTCCTTAATTTAGGGATTTAGGGTTAATTTAGGCGCTCCTTAACTAAATCCTTTGCGGACTGGTGGGGTGGAGAGGATGGTTTCGTGCGAGTGGCAGGCAAGTTGTATGCAGCTCCATTTGCACAAATGGACACATACACACACCACTCACACAAATGGAGTTGTACCCTCACATACTTGCCTGCCACTTCCATAGCCCAGTTCCAAACGGGCTGCAGCCTGGTACTGGGTTGCAGTCTGGGGGTTGGTGCCTTCACATGTAGATTACACCTATAAAGGGTGGGGGGCTCAGTGGCTCAGTGGTTAAAGACATTGAGCTGCTCAGCTAGAAAGCTGAAAACTCAGGTTTGAGACCCAAGTCCCATGTGACAGGGTGAGCTCCCATTCCTTGCCTCAGCTCCTGCCCACCTAGCAGTTTAAAAGCATGCAAATGAAAGTAGAGTAATAGGCACCACTTTGGTGGGAAGGTAATAGCATTCTGTGTGCCTTTGGCATATAGCCATGCTGGCCACATGACCACAGAAGCGTCTTTGGACAATGCTGGTTCCAATGGCCAAGAAACAGAGATGCGCACTGTGCCCTAGAATTGGACACGACTGAACCGGGAAGACTTTTTTACACCTCTAAAATATAACTTGCAATTTTTATATGAACAAGATATCTGCAAATCATCTGGGTGGGGGGGATTGATGTAAAGGATTTCTTATCTTGCCTTTTCATTTGCTAAATCCATAAGTACCATTCACTGGGGACGTGTTCCAAATTGACCATCTGTATATCTTCAAGAAAGCACCATATCAAAGAATGAGTAATTTTGAGAAAATGGGCCAGGTATTGCATTCTAAGATTAAGTAGAGCTGTGAATGAATAATCCAATAAGATTAGAAGCTTCATGTTGAACCATATAGATAAGCTTTGACATACCATTGTAATTGAGCCCACAATTTTGGTTGTAAATCATGACAGTCATACAGCAGGTTACCTCTTGACCAGACCCAATTTTATTACCTTTTGTATGCAAATACCACACTAGTTAAGTGAATCTATTATTCGCTATGAGGATTTTTTTCCCCCAGAAACTGGAAATAAGTACTGGTTTCCAGCAAAAACATCATAAATCATGGTCACATGACTGCAGGGCACTGCAAGTGACGGTAAATGTGGGCCAGCACCCACAATGCTGCCATATGACCAGGAGGAGTTGGTTGTTGGAACTTCAAATCCAGGTCATAAGTAGCTTTTTCCAAATCCATTGTAACTTTAAACAGTTGCTAAGTCATCGGTCATAAGTCAAGGTCTACCTGTAGTCTAAAACAAATCTTTTATAAATTTCTGGACAGACGTGACTTTTCCTGTGATCATGTTACGAAGTTTTGGTGTTTGGAACTGGCTTGTGTGAATTGATTTGAATTAGGTAAACGGTTGGTGGCAAAAGATTGAATAGATGTCCATTAGCATTTTGGAAAAATGATATTTATATATTCTAATTTCAGCTAAGCCCTGCCAGCTACATTTGTTTGTGATTCTTTTTGCTAGGAAAAAAAAAAAGTTAAAGAGTTTCCCTTTCACATATAAAAGAAAGGGTTATATTGGATTTATATTTATTGGGAAGAAACCAGTTTTTTAGAGGCAGTGTACATGGGATGCATTGCTTAGTATTTGTGTTAATCAGTAGAAATTTTATTCCATGAGAAAATAGCTTGGGAGGAAAACTAGAATTAACAAAGTATACTAAATATTTGAAGCTCTGCTTAAAATATGTAGAATGTCTAAATCATTTAAATATTTAAATTATTAAATAGAAAAGCCTGTTTCCAAAATTTCTACAACAGTATATTCCTCACCAAAGAGCAAATAGTTTTGTCTTTCCAAAGAATGTTATCAAAACAAATTACACATTTTACTTAATATATGCATAAATGGAATGTCCAGTTATATTGAATGGAAATGAAATGCTAGTGCATGATATCTAAATTCTACTATTATTTTAATTGCTTATTTTCAGGGTATCATTACATAGTCAGCAGAATCTCATGACAGTCTCCAATCTTGGAGTTATTTTTGGTCCCACGTTGATGAGAGCCCAGGAGGAAACAGTGGCCGCTATGATGAACATCAAGTTTCAGAATATTGTGGTTGAGATTCTCATTGAGCATTATGAGAAGGTAGAATGTCATGAGTTTTACTGAAATCTATGGTAAAAAAAATATGAAATACAACATTATATTACTTTAATAACTATAGGAATATAAGTGTCTCGGGGTTTTTTAATCAATAGTGAATAAATTGAATAGTTTATTCAGTCAACAGCAGCATAGCATTTCCTGGAAGTAACCTGCTTGGGAACTTGGGAATCTTCCTATACTCACAGCTCCTATTTGAAAGCAAGTGAAAGGAAGAAAGGAGAAAATCTCTGTGAATGTTCAGCCTATTGAAGAGATAACAAAAAGTAGCTATGATGACAGTCCTCAAATATCTGAAGGGCTGTCACACAGAAGAGACAGTAGATGAATTCTCTCTGGTCCCAGATAGCAAGATAAGAAGCAGTAGGTTAAAAGTATAACAAAGAAGTAGATACCACGTATTGGAAGAAACTTCCAGACTGTATCAGACAATTTAATGGGCTATCCCATGACATAATAAGTTTTCACTTGCTAGATCAGTGCTTCTGAACCTTGACTGCTTGAAGATGTGTGGACTTCAACTCCCAGAAGTCCCCAGCCAGCATGACTGGTAGGGAATTTTAGAAGTTGAAGTCCACACATCTTCAAGCTGCCAAGATTGAGAAATACTGCACTAGATTATCTGATCAAAGGGTTGAGAATCATCTTTCAGAAATGCTCTAATATAGAGGTTTTCAACATTTTTCAGATTATGGAAACTATTCGTTAAGAAAAATTCTAGGCAAAGCTTTAGTGGAAGAAAGTTGACTGCATTCAAATGAATGTTTTTCACCCCTTAATCTCTAATGGAACCCATTAAGGTCTCCTAGGATTCTGTAGGACACAGTTTGAGTACTTGTTCCACAGGATTCAGGACTTAGCCAAGGGTTGGACTAGAAGATTTTTAGGCCCTTTCTTACTCTATCATCAGTGGCTCTACTTTTAAAAAATCAGCTAAGTCAGGGGCTAGGTCAGGGGGTGGTTGGCTGGCTCAGGAATTCTGCGAGTTGAAGTCCACGAGTCATAAAACAGCCATGGTTGCCTACCCCTGAGCTAGGTGATGCCACATTCTGTGACATACTAAATAAAAGATGCTCATTATAAAATATGTATTAATTTTGCTAAGAAGCAGTTTTTACCGCCAGTATATTCTGAAAAAGAAGAAATAATCTGGATTGATCTGGAATAAACAGAGTAATATCAGAATCACTATGTGTACGAAAAGTTAGAATCTCTTCAAAAGTTAGAATTTTAAGTGTCTGCAACATAAAGGGATTCCTTCATTTAATAATGTAGAGTAGCTTTCTTCACATTCTTACATTCCGATATTTCCCAGAATTCTGTGAGTTTGGGAAAAGGAAGCCTCAACCTATGAAGACAGTAGGATGCTGTGTATTGTCTTATGAAATATTGGAATATTGCATCAAGTTTTGGTCATCGCGATGTAAAAAAAATGTTGAGACTCTAGAAAGAGTACAGAAAAGAGCAATTAAGATGATTAGGGGATTGGAGGCTAAAACAGGAATTGGGTATATCTAGTTTAATGAAAAGAAAGACAAGGGGGAACATGATAGCAGTGTTCCAATATCTAAGGATTGTCACAAAGAAGAAGGGGTCAATTTATTCTGCAAAGCACCAGGACAAGAAGCAATGGATAAAAACTAATCAAGGAGAAAACCAACCTAGAACAAAGGAGAAATTTCTTGACAGTGAGAACAAACAATCATAAACAGCTTTCCTCCAGAAATTGTGGATGCTCAAACTCTAGAGGTTTTTAAGAAGAGATTGGTCAACTATTTGGCTGAAATGATATAGGGTTTCCTGCCTGAGCAGGGGGTTGGTCCCTTCCAACTCTGTTATTCTGTAATTATTAAATTATTTTGAAGAATTTAATGTGATACTCAAATTGTACAGAAAAAAATTCTACTGGAAACAGATGACTCAATCTCTCAGCCTAAGCAAATGCAGGTATTCCAAAAGATTCTCAACAATATGTATGTTTGCCTTTATTGATAGATATTCCACACAGCCCCAGATCCCAATATTCCTCTTGGAAAGCCTCAATCCAGATCAAGCTCAAGAAGGACAAGAGCAATCTGTCTCTCCACAGGTTCTCGCAAGCCTAAAGGACGATATACTCCATGCCTAGCAGATCCAGATAGTAAGTGCATTTGTTTCTGTTAGCACTGTCTGATTTCTCACAGTTGGTTATAAATGGGTGGTAATAATTGTGTTGCTCTGAGCACAAGGGGTGCTTCTCTACTGAGCATTTTGGGCTATTCACAGTGCACCTATCTGCACTTTTTCATTTGGGCTTTTCTTATTTATTTAAAATATTTATATAGCATATATATTGGAACATTTATATATTTTTGTTCCTTTGTTTCATTATATTTTTATGACCTTTCCCCCAATAAAATCTAGATATGCTGGGGCAGAATTAGCTGTCTTAATTGTGCACAAAGAGGATCTTTCTTTCTTCCTCTCCTGATTCAACCAAAGATATAGGAGGGATCCTAGGGTATGGTACAAAGGCACATGATGCAATTTTAGATTTAGTGATTATCTGACTAAAATACTTCCTGGAAGTTTATTTGTATTGCTCTGAGCTTCATGCTGGAAAAACCCCAATATATATAAATGTAAAATGAGTGTTCAAGAGCAATTAATCACACTAGTATGTGAAGGGCAAATGTTTCTTTTAGCCATTTGTGACATCAAATTCCAGTGGTTTCATTTACAAAAGACTTGAAAATAGGACTTCAAATATTCTGATGCTTTTATATTTGTTTATCTATATAGTTGGTTAATGTTAGTTAGATTATGATTATTATATTTATTACCCTGTATTCAGCTCTGGGAAGTGGGGGAGAGGGAGGGGAGGGGGTAGGGTGGGTGGGTTTTGGGGTATATTTTGTAATTTTTAAACTTTTTAATAAAAAAAATATGCTGATGCTTGTCTAGAGCCGTTCAATTGACTATTGAAAGCTCATTGAAGATGTCTTCTTGGGACCTTCATCTGGCATGGAATACTAGCACTAGCACTTAGACTTATATACTGCTTCATAGTGCTTTACTGCCCTTTCTAAGTGGTTTACAAAGTCAGCACATTGCCCCCAACAATCTGGGTCCTCATTTTACCAACCTTGGAAGGATGGAAGGCTGAGTCAACCTTGAGCTGGTCAGGATTGAATTTCTGGCTGTGGGCAGAGTTAGCCTGCAATACTGCATTCTAACCACTGCATCACCACAGCTCTTACATATCATATAGCCATAAGCCATTTTCTCATACAGTCACACTCAAGATGTTCAGATTCATACATTCTCATGCCATCATTAATCTGTATGGGTTTTGCTACACTTGTGCAGAATCATGAAGTAAATATTGTTCTGGTAAAGTCAATTTAGATCATATTGTATTTCTGTGCATATTAGTTAATAACAGGTAGTGTTGTTTTCCTCCCAGGGGAAAGCAAAGAAATTTGAGAAATGTGGGGTCCTTGGTACTCTCTGAGCTTGCTGATTTTCTTACAGACGTTTCATTATTAAGCTAAGTAACATCATCAGTGCTGGCTAAATTTGAGAAATGCCATTTCTTGTTTTCATCCCCTTCTCTTCACCTTTCCACCTTCCAGGTGATTCATACAGTAGCAGCCCAGACAGCACTCCAATGGGCAGCATAGAATCACTGTCCTCTCACTCTTCAGAACAGAACAGCACTACCAAACCTGCGTCTTCTCAATCCAGGGAAAAAACAGGGGTTGTTCCATGGATTGCATCATCACCATCATCCAATGGACCAAAAAATTCAGGGCTTTGGACCACAAGTCCTGAATCCTCCTCAAAGGAGGATGCAGCAAAAACAGATGTGGAATCTGACTGTCAAAGTGTCACATCTGTTACTGGACCAGACAATGTGACTTCACCAGGAGACCCAGCCAAAAGAGGATTGTATAGTCTCTCTGGAATGAAAAGATCATCAGCTTTATCTTTAAGGTCTATCCCTTCTGCAGAAGGTACTTTTTGAATGATCCATTGCTTTACTGTCAATAGGTTATTTAATGGTTTGTGCATATCTATTTTCACATATACTTCAACATTGCAAATTGAGAAATAAATAATATCGGGACCTTGGTCAGCAAGATGGGTGGCATATAAATTTAATAAATGAATAAATAAACATAAAATTGGGAATAGTTGCTGGCTATGCTTAAAGGCAAAAATACATGTAATATTGCGTTTTTGCTAATTGGAATGACAAATCATATGTGAAACAAAGGGTTTTTATTAAAAGCGAAATAAATGTAGTGTTTGCAGTTATAGTATATGGGAGCTATTTCAGAAATCATTATAGACATTAGTGAAAAGCTATATAAGATTTCAATTTTGATTGTCATTTTATTATTTTATTAAGTTCTAATGTTGTTTCATACTTGTGGTTATAGTTTTTCTTTCATTTATTTTTGTATATCCCCCGCCCCCAGAGTTACATGGTATGAATTGGACAGCCATATAAAAGCTTAAATAAGCCAACACAGGAAGGCATCCACAAGAAGACCTTAAGGTGTTGTTGAGATGATGATGATGATGATGATGATGATAATAATAATAGTAATAATAATAATAATAATAATAATAATAATAATAAAAAGTTGGAAGGGACCTTGGAGATCATCAAGTCCAACCCCCTGCTCAGGCAGGAAACTCTATATCATTTCAGACAAATGGTTGTCCAATATCTTCTTAAAAACATCCAGTTTTTCACAGTTCTGGAGGCAGGTTGTTCCACTGATTAATTGTTCTAACTGGAAATTTCTCCTTAGTTCTAGGTTGCTTTTCACTTTGGCTAGTTTCCATCCATTGCTTCTTGTCCTACCTTCAGATGCTTTGGAGAATAGCCTGACTACCTCTTCTTTGTAGCAACCCCTGAGATATTGGAACACTGCTATCATGTCACCCCTAGTCCTTCTCTTCATTAAACTAGACATACCCAATTCCAGCAACCATTCCTTATATGTTTTAGCCTCCAGTCCCCTAATCATCTTTGTTGCTCTTCTCTATACTCTTTCTAGAGTCTCAACTTCCTTTTTACATCGTGGTGACCAAAACTAGATGCAGTATTTCAAGTGTGGCCTTACCAAGTCGTTATAATGTTGTATTAACACTTCACGTGATCTTCATTCTATCCCTCTGTTAATGCAGCCTAGCACTGTGTTGGCTTTTTTGGCAGCTGCAGCATACTGCTGGCTCATATTTAAGTGATTGTCCACTAGGACTCCGAGATCCCTCTCACAGTTATTACTATTGAGTAAGGTACCACTTATACTATACCTGTGCATTTGATTTTTCTTGCCTAAATGTAGAACCTTATTTTTTTCACCACTGAATTTCATTTTGTTAGATAGCGCCCAATGTTCAAGTCTGTCAAGATTCTTCTGTATCTTAAGCCTATCTTCTGGAGTGTTGGCTATTCCTGCCAGCTTGTGTCGTCTATAAATTTGATGAATTCCCCATCTATCCCCTCATCCAAATCATTGAAAAGCACCGGGCTCAAAACAAAGTCCTGAGGCACCCCACTACACACTTTCCTCCATGTAGATGCAATTCCATTGAGGACCACATGCTGAGTACGGCCAGTCAGCCAGCTACGAATCCATCTGGTGGTGATGCTGTCTAACCACATTTTTCCATTTTATCAAATAGTAGATTGTGATCTACTTTATCAAATGCCTTACTGTTGTTCGCTGATTCATTGTTTGATTATCTTTTCCAGAATCTTCCCAGGTATTGAGGTCAGGCTGATAGGTCTATACTTTCCTGGATCCATTTTTTTTTCCTTTTTTGAAGATGGGAACTACATCAGTTCTTTTCCAGTCCTCTGGTAGTTCCCCAGTGCTCCAGGATCTTTGAAAGATCTAGTTCAGTGGTTCTGAGATCACATCTGCCAGTTCCTTCAGAACCTTGGGGATTTGAACTCATCTAGGCTGAACAGGTGCTCACTTACCATTTTCTTGCCTATTTTAACGAGTTTCTAATCTGTTTTTTACGGTACTGTTTTTGATAAGTTGGACTGTTTTTTCCCTTTGTAAAGATGGATGCAAAAAATGAGTTAAATAGTTCTGCTTTCTCCCCGTTGCTTGTCACCTTCTTGCCACTTAACTCCCACTAATGGACCAATCATATCCTTAACTTTTTTCTTGTTTTTTACATGTTGAAAGAAGCTTTTTTTTTTCCTGACTTTTGTTGCAGGCCTTAGTTCATTTTGAGCCTTAGCTTTCCTCACCATCTATTTGCTGATATTCTGCCTTAGTTATGTACCCCTCTTTCCACTTTTTATACTTGTCCTTTTTGTCTTTCAATTTATGCAGCCATGCTGGTTTCTTTTGAGAGCTGTTATTTTTCTTCTTCGTTGGTATGTGCAAGACTGGGCTTTTATAATCTCACCTTGAGCTGTTTTCCCTTTGAGGATTCTCATCTATGGAATCCTTTCCAAGCTCTCTCTGAGTTTATTGAAATTAGCTCTGTTAAAGTCCAAGACTCTAGTTTGACTGTGTTCTATTGCTTGTGCTTCCATAATGTTGAATTCCAATATTGCATGATCACTCCCCCCCCCAAGGTTCCTGTGGCTTCAACACCTTTTATCATTTCATCTCTATTAGTGAGAATTAGGTCCAATATGGCTGATCCCCTAGTTCCCTTCTCTACTTTTTGGAAGACAATGTTGTCTGCTAGGTTTGTCAGGCATCTGCTTGATCTTCCACTTGGTGCAGAGTTTGTCTCCCAGTTGATGTCAGGGTAATTAAAGTCCCCCATAACTATTGTGATGTGCTTCCTACATACCTTAGTTAGCCGACTAGCAAAAAGTTCATCTATTTCCTCTATTTGGTTGGATGGCCTATAGCAGTGATGGCAAACCTTTTAGATACCAAGTACCCCAAAACCACTCCGCCCCCTGCCCGCCTGCAGGGTCACCTACTGCCTCCATGGCCCGCCGCAGATCGCCCAGGTGGCCCTACGGCGCCATGGTGGCCACTCCCTCCACCTGTGCCCCGCAGCATCATTTGTGTGTGACAGGGCGCGAGGGCAGAGTCTTATCCCTGTTGCCTGGCTACCAGGTCCTTGGCTGCACTGCTCCATGCGGGTTGTGCCCGGGGGTGACTCTCCTCCAGGGGGGCTGCTGGTGAGGAGGGAGGCGGGGCTGGGGTGACAGCACATGTGCCCACAGAGAGGTTTGTGCCATAGGTTCGCCACCACTGGCCTATAGTATACACCTATGGCAATGTCATTTTTCCCCTTTTATATTGACTCAAATGTATTGAAGACCGTTTTCATCATTGTTGTGCTCTATTTCTGTAGAGATGTAGTTATTTCTTATATAGAGAGCAACTCCACCTCCTCTTTTATTTGGTCTGTTTCTTTTAAATAATTTAAATCCCTCTAGCTGTGTGTTCCATTTGTGGGTTTCATCCCACCAAGTTTCCATAATGGCAACAATATCACATCTGCCCTCATTTACATGAACTTCTAGTTCACCCTGTTTATTGCTCATACTCTGTGCGTTGGTTTATAGATATTTGAGTCCTTTATGACTGATGTCTTACATGTCATGGGATTATCATGCCAATGGTGTAAAAACACTGCAATTTCTAAACATTTTTGAAGAGGAAAATAGATAATAAAAGAATATTTTAATCAAATAAGAGAAAACAGGAAATCCAAACCAAGAGTCTTTTTAATTGCTTTTCAAATTATGAGTTCCTTCCAAATTTCAAGGAACAGACTTCAGAAATATTGACCATTTCCTTGTCTTTCAGAAACATTTTTTAATCTCATTTTTTTTACTACAGTAATAAGTCTCTTCCTTTCACTGACAAATATCAATTTGCTTCATTGTTACACATTTTTGGGGGTAGTGAACTGCAATAAAGTTTGTTGTTTTACCATGTTTTATAATACATGTGCTCTTATTGCTAATTTCAAATATAGGATTAGGGGGAAAAATACTCTCATGCCTATTTTGCATTTACAATAAGGATTGTGGTAAGCTGCAAACATATATAATAGGATATAACCAAACAAATATTTGGAACTGAGTAATAGATCAAAGAAGTGTTCAGCACGACAGCATAACTTTATCTTTCCTTTAAATCAGTTATTCACACATCATGGTCTTTCCGTGAAATAACGAGAATAGAAGAGTCATCCAAAGAGTCAACAAGTATTTTATGTTATTTTATTTTTATTTTATTTTAGTATATATGTATATACTGTATGTATGTATATATTTGTTCATTCATTCATTCATATCCAAACTTCATTTTTTTTGCAAATAACTGAAGGCAGGCAACATATCCAACACACCTTTCTCCACGTGGAGATAATCCTCAACTTACAACCATTTATTTAGTGACTGTGTGAAGTTAGAATGGCACTTTTAAAAAGTGACTTATGACTGTTTTTACAACCATGGCAGCCTCTGTGTGGTCACATGATCACAATTCAGACACCTCGCAACTACAATAAGTATGACGGTTGCAGTATCCCAGTATCCCCATGTGATCACCTTTTACAACCTGCTGACAAGCAAAGACAATGGGGAAGCCAGAGTCACTTAATTACCATACCACTAACTTAACAACTGCAGCCATTCACTTAACAACTGTGGCAAGAAAGGTCATAAAATGGGGTAAAATTCATTTAACAACTGTTTTGCTTAGCAACAGAAATTTTGGGCTCAATTGGGGTCGTACGTCAAGGGCTACCTGTAGTGAACACCAAACAAGGAGACATTCAAGTTAATTTCATGTAATCATTTGTTATTTAGGTAACAAAAGCTGCAGAAGTTCCTTGCAAAGTTTAGCTTCCTTGGATGCCAAGGAAGTACCAAAGATGCTAGAAAATCCAGAACTGCCTCCAAAAATGTGCAGAAGATTACGACTGGATACAGCGTCAAGTAATGGCTACCAAAGACCAGGGTCTGTGTAAGTTTATTCACATTTTGACTGCATGAATTTTTACATTGGAAAGAGCTTGGCAATTATTGGTAATCATGAAATTGTTTTCGATATTTCAGAGTAGCAGCAAGAGCCCAACTATTTGAAAGTGGTTGCTCAGTAAAACAGACTCCCTCTGGAAGGTAGGTTTTAACACATTAATTTGTGCCCCTTTGAGTATTAAGTCATATTTTACTTCTATGTTGAGTGTTACGATTTCTTTTGAAATGCAGATGCCATTAATGCTGGAAGAAAATCTGTCCTTAGAATTATTAGTTAGCAGTAACAGAATATTAAGAGTTGAAGAAAATCTAAACGTATTTCAAGTTAAACACCTAATTTTAGGTGTGTCCCCAGAGTTTCCTCTCCTTCTTGAGGAAAAAATTGGGGAAACCATGCAATGGATTGCTAGAGATAAGAAGAAACGCTGATTAGAAATGATGCTTCTGAGCATTCCAGAAAATATGGGATGCAGAGATATAGCATAGCTTCTTGGAAGTGTAATAATCCACCAAGGAAACTTACACAGCAACTGAAGAAGAACCGACTGGGTTCCTGTCTTATAAATAGAAAGGCAGTCCTTAATTTACAACCTCAATTGGGACTAGTATTTTAATTGTGACAGTCATTAAGTCAAGGCACTCATCTAACCTAACCTGGTTTTATTACCATTTTTAAGTGGTCATTAAGCAAATCACACTCTGAGTCACAACCCCTTACAAATGGGGCTCTTTTTGCAGGAAACTGGCAAAAAAAATATTCACAAATCACAGTCACTTTACCTCAGGATGCTAAAACCAAGTCATAAATATGAGCTGGTTGCCAAGCATCCAAAATAAGGTCATGTGACCATGAGGGCAATGTGGCGTTTTATGATGCCCAGAAATGATTTATAGATCATAAACTGCCTTTTCCAAGGTGGTTGTAATTCTAAACAGCCACTAAGTGATCAGTTGTAAGTTCACAACTACCTGTAGTCTGTTGCCAGTGGTCTGTGTAACAGACGTGTTTCTGAAGGTGCCAACCACAGTTGCCAATGAAACATCAATACATCTTGTGTCTAGATTGCGGTCTCTAAACCTTGGAGCCCAACAAGTACTGGCCAGGAAAACGTCCACCTATATGACATAACAAGCCCCTTGCTTAGTTTCTTGCATGAAAGTTTGGGTAATTTTCCTCAAATGTGGAAAACTAAATTCCAGTCCAATCCAATAGAGGGTTATGGAGGCAGGCAGAAAGATTTGTCAGCCAGGTTCAAAGAAATCATTAAGTTCATAGAAATGCAAGTGCACTCTTACAAAGTCTCTTTGTGTGTCCTAGAGAGCTTGAGCCCTTGCACAAAAGAAGTGAGATTCCTCTTCAGGAACATACAGCAGTTGGCAATGTTATTTTCACATCCTCTTTTACTAGCAGCTTTATAGCAAAAAAAAAAAAAAAAAAGGAAGGAAGGAAGGCATACAATGAGTTCTTTGCATGGAACATCGGAGCCTTTATGGTGTGAATAGTGAGGATAGATGATTAGCAAGGAGAGTGAAGAGCATTTTGACCAACATGCATGGGAAATAGGAAAGAACTGAGAGATATTTATCTGGAAAAATGGAAGTATTATTTGTAAGCATGGCTTCCCTGGATTATGGTATCTCCAGATGTACAATTCCCAGAATCCTTAGACAGCAGCTTTGGCTATTCTGACTGGAAAAACCTGTAATCCATATGGAGGGGCATCAGATAGTCCTCAGCTTATAACCATAATTGGAACCAGAATTTTCATTGCTAAGCAAGGCAGTTGTTCAGTGAGTCACACCAGATTTTATGACCTTTTTTGCTACAGTTTTTAAGCATATCACTGCAAAAACATATCATAGTGAATAATGAGTTTGCTTATCAACTGTGACATTCACTTAACTTCTATGGCATTCACTTAATGAACACCACAAAAAAGTTCTCAAAATTAGGTCAATCACATAGGTAACCCACTTTAAAACTGTCACAACTTAGTAGGACTATGATGGGCAGGTTCATAAGTCAAAGACTACTTGTAACTGGATTTATTTATTTATTTATAAATTTTATTGGCCGCCCATCTTACCTCAGGGTAGCTCTGGGCAGCTGGATCCTGCCAATTGTCTGGCCACAACATTTGGGACTCATTTAAAAGTCAGTCCCACCACATTTTAGAGAGTTCCTTAAAACATTAGTTAACTTCAAAAGGGTCTGTTGGTTTGAAGCAGGGGTCTTCAAACTTGGCCCTTTTATGACTTGTGGACTTCAACTCCCAGAATTCCTCAGCAGGTACGCTGAAGTCCACAAGTCATAAAAGAACCGAGTTTGAAGACCCCTGGTTTGAAGCATTTCATTTACATATATGTTTCCTATATTGAAGATCCAATATTTTGTTCTACTGGAGTGCTTTTCCATTGATAGATCACTCATTTCTTTTTTGTCTACAATTTTTGTTTGTTATTATTTTCAAGGCAAGCCAAGGCCATGTATTCCTGTAAGGCTGAACACAGTCATGAACTGAGCTTCCCACAGGGGGCAGTATTTTCCAATGGTAAGATGCAATTAGGTTTTATTGTCATTGTAGCAATAACATTGGCAACTAGCATCTCTGTTTATCTTTAGAGCTTTAAGACTGCTTGTTTTTTTCATTAATGCAACACAATTATTCTTCATCATATTACTTTTTCAAGGATGAGTGATAATGTGAATATGTTACAAACATAATGTGTTGTGCATGTATGTATGTGAACATTGTTATTATTTATATTATTATTTACGGTAAACATTAAAGTATGTCTAAAAAGGAATCAATGTAAGTCATGCACTGTCCTTGTTTCTTAACAGTATATCCATCTGTGGAACCCGGATGGCTAAAAGCAACATATGAAGGCAAAACAGGACTTGTTCCAGAAAACTATGTTGTCTTTCTCTAGTGATAGTAATGGACAGCAGTTTCTTCATGGTATCCATGGTAACAAGCAATAAGCACTGTGACTTTTTTTTTTAATCTGACACAGATATGGAGGGTCTGCCAGCTATCCCCATGTATGGTTGACTCCCTTCCATTTCTGCAACTGCAGATTATGTAGCTTTGTATAAGTAGAACAGAATTTAACGAAAACAGTTGAGAGGATAGGTTTTGTTTTTTCAGTCTGTGTTTTAAAACTGAACATGGTACTTTCTCTGTCTTCCACTGTTGTTAACGAGAAAATCACTTTATTTTTTTTTCTTTATGCACAAAATCAAATCACCTGAAAATGAATCCACTTTTTTTTTTAAATCTGAGCGACTGATTCTCAGTTGGTCCCTATCATTTCAAGAAAAGCTTGAGCTTGTATTTAAATTGTTAATAAATGTTCACAGATGTCATTGTTTGTAAAAGCAATATAGATAGGGATATAAATCTGTTAATTGAAGCAACACTTCATCAAAGTCATATTTTTGTTTCAAATGGCATTTTAACGCGGTATATATGTGTTTTGATTTTTCTTCCTTCACTTCTATGTTTTATCCTATAATTATTAATAAATTATATTTATAAACTCTCACTTCCATTCTAATAATACATTGGAATGCCAACTACATAAATAAGCTATTGTTTTTACTTATTATTATGGTATGTTGCACAATCAGCCAAATGTTCAGACTGGATTTGGTATTTTTATCCGCCTATTGAGTCCTTCCCAAGAACATTGGATAGGAAGATGTGGATGTTTGATGATGATATAGGTATTGCTGCAGGATGTAATTGCAACTGACCAGTGGTGATTTTTGTCAATGCCAATGGTGTTCAAATGGTGCTCCAGTTGTTTTGGGATTGCCCCCAAAGAGTCTATTACTATTGATGCTATCTTTGCTTTCTTCTGCCACAGTCGTTCTAGTTCTATTTGCTTTGTATTAATTTATTGTCTCCATTTTTTTCTGTTCTATTCTGCTGTCTCCAGGTAGTGCCACATCTACTATCCAGACCTTTTTTGTGTTTCTTATCGACAATTTGTTAAGTCTGGATGTTATCTGGGAAGTGTTTGTTGGTTTGAATTCTAAAGTCCCAGAGCACTTTAGCTTTTTCATTTTCTATTACTTACTTTTATGGCTCCACCAGTTCTTGCTTGCAGGCAAATAATATTTCTTGCAGATCTTCCAATGCACCGTTGTTGCTACTTTGTTATGCTGCTGCTTGTAGTCAGTCTGTGCAATCGTCTTGCAGCAGCTGACCAGGTGATCCACTGTTTCTTCAGCTTTGCACAGGTGGCACTTGCTGTCTGTTGCCGTTTTCTCAATTCTGTATGCATTTGTTCTTAAGACTTGGTTTTGAGCATTGTTCTCGTATACAAAACAATTTCCAGTACTTTAGCTGATGGTTCAACTTCATACACCTCGAGTTTTTCCTCATAGCTTAGGATGTTGTAATAAGCACAGTGTTATGCAGATCCAATAGTGTTGTTATTATTGTTGTTATTGTTAATGTTGTTATTATTATTATTGATATTTTACTTGAGATACTTTAAAATGAAAGACCAAAATTAACTGAGAAATAAATACAAGTAATAGAACCTGAAGTTCATTTTCAAATTTCAAATTAGCCAATCAATAATTTTGAATCATTACACTGGCTTGACACATGAAACTAATTAAGCTCTTGAATTTTATCCTGTAAGCTTGACAATATTTTGCAATATTTTGCAATATTTTAATTTAGGTAATATTGGATGCTGAATATAATGTTTCTATATTATTGCTTTCGAAATGTGGTGCTGGAGAAGACTCTTGAAAGTCCCTTGGACTGCAAGGAGATCAAATCAGTCAAACCTAAAGGAAATCAATCCTCACTGTCCTTTGGAAAGACAGATACTGAAGCTGAAGCTCAAATACTTCGGCCACCAAATGAGAAAAGAGGAATCGTCGAAGAAGACCCTGATGTTGGGAAAGATGGAAGGCAAAGGAGAAGAGGACAGCAGAGGACAAGGTGGTTAGATAGTATCATCAATGCAATAAACATGAATTTGGGCAAATTCCAGGAGACAGTAGAGGACAGGGGAGTTTGATGTGCTATAGTCCACGGATTGCAGAGTTGGACACACACACACACACACACACACACACACACACACACACACCACTTCTAAGATCATTTTAGGCATGGTATTTCAAATGTAGAAGGAATTGTTGTACTTGGGGCTGTGTGAATTCTTCAGATAAAAAAATTGAAAATAATCTTGAACAAGCAGTAGTGAAAATTCATTACTTGTGATATCAGACTAAAGTTAAACTTCATTGATTACAGTATGTTGTTACTGAAATATTTTGCAGACAGTAAAACTTAGCTGGTGCTCCTTTTATGAGATGCCAGGCTGTCATTTATATACATATTACTTATCTAGGTTGAAGTTAACAAGAAATTCAGAGTCATTTTATGACTCCACGTCTTATTGTTCTAGCCCGTTGTATGCATCATTTAGAAAAGAGTGCATACAGAACAAGGAATTTCAAGTGAAAAAAAGACTATTACAACCCTAGGCTAAAGAACTATGCATATGTTGTCTAAAGCAGAGTAATTCAATTCAAGATGCATAATACAAGGCAGAAAAAAACCCACAAATGTCTCTGTCTCCAGTCTTGATAGTAAAGTAACAAAAACAACTGATTAAATTATTTTGTCAGGATGATTCAGGTGATCCATGTTTATGTGAATCTATGCCTTCGAATCAGTGTGTATGTTTTTCCCTCGAGCTGCAGAAAACGACAAATGGAAATCCATTCAGTGCTTAGTGAAACAGCCACCAATATATTCTAAAGTTCATGAAGGCAAAAACAAGGAGGTTTCTCTTCTAAGATGTAAAAGTAAAGAAGTCCATGCAGATTTTACTCTGCTAGTCATTGCCAACGATAAGGGATGGTGCTCATCTCCATTTCAAGGCCATTGAACCAATGCTGTCTGAAGACATTTCCATGGTCATGTGATTAGCATGACATCATGGAGCGCTGTCACCTTCCCACCGTAGTGGTACCTATTGATCTATTCTCATTTGCATGCTTTCAAACTGCTAGGTTGGCAGGAGCTGGGGCAGGTAACGGGAGCTCACCCCATCGTGTGGTGCTCGGTCTCGAACCTGGGCTGCCAGCTTTCCAGCCAACAAACCAGCATCTTAACCACAAGCCACCACGCTGTCCTTCTTAGAAACATGTTTGTAAATGGTCTTTTTGGAAAAATCAAACCAGCCTAATAATATAAATCCTAAATTCGGAAGGGCATTAATATTAGCCCAAGTTAATATCCTTATTATTACATCGATCATGGAAGGGAAATTCAAGAAAATTCCATATGTGGACAGATTATGCCCAGGTGTGTTAGTATTACAAATCAATTGCTCATGTTCTTTATTGTCAACTTTATATGGACACACTATAGTATATCCTATATGGACATACTTTGGTATATTTTTGGTATATCCTAATGAATCATTTCAGGTACTCGTACTTAATTCTATTTAATACATCTCCCATATGCGCAGCAGTTAGAGTGCAGTACTGCAGGCCACTTTAGCTGACTGTGTTCAGCAGGTCAGCGGTTCAAATCTCACCGGCTCAAGGTTGACTCAGCCTTCCATCCTTCCGGGGTAGGTAAAATGAGGACCCAGATTATTGGGGGCAATGTAAATATATATATACATTGCTTACTGGTGTACACCGCTTAGAGAGTGCTTGCACTTAAAGCGGTATATAAGTCTCATAAACAAATAAACAAATATAGAAATCAGCTCTCATTTAATATGGCAGACGTTTACAGATTAAGAGCCCCAACAAATTAACAGTGCTGGTGCTTAGTTTAGGGTAACTATAATGTCCTCTGCTTTTTATTTTTAGTCCTCTTCAATCATCTCTGTTTCTTAGATTTTTATGATATTTTATGACCAAAGCTGAGCAGATCATCCTGACTTTCTAAATTATTTAAAGAATACTTTATAGTGTAACATATATCTTATTTTAAGGGCACTTTACAGCATGTGCAACATCAAAAGTTCTGGCAATAACTTAAGGGGAAAAGTTTGTAGAGGGTCTAACAGTGCAAGTGCTTAAGGTACATACTTTTAATGTGTCCCACCCTCTGTGATTGTTTTTGTACATCTACTAAGAGGAACTTCTCAGCAGCTTTGGCTAAACCAGCTCAGGCTTGATTGACCCTTGGATGAAAAATCATGGGGAATTACTCTACAATTACTGTTAGGAAATTGAAGAAACATTTAAAAAAATGTGATATGCACTTGTATATTGTTGCCAAGAAAATTGATTGTGTTCATGTAATTACAACTCAACCTCAGTTGAGGGATATCTCTACCTTTCTTTTCTAATATAATGATGCATTGCTCATTTATTTCTAGATGAAAAGAAAATTGCCAAATTACTGTACTAAACCTATCATTCTGTTTCTAGAAGAGAGAGAGAATAAGAGAAAAGAAATAGAAGCATGGGATATAAGAAATGAGTTCCCCAATCCCAATTATCTCTTCGACAAGCTGAAGGATTTTCTTTTTTTAAAAAAAAAACTAAGCAAAAAAAACCAGGATTGAGATTTAGATTTAGTCATGCTCAGAACAGAGTCATTGAAATCAGTAAGATTTAATTAAATCAGTTGGTCTCTAATCATGAAACATTCTGGATCCAATCAATGTCTTAGTTTCATTTGTTGATGCCTCATGTGTAATTAACATCTAAGGATAGAGAAGGCAATAAAGGTAGTCCTCAACTTACGACCACAATTGAGACCAAAATTTCTGTTGTTGTGAGACAAAACAGAATCTTGATGGGTTGATTTCAACCATTTTAGCCCATATTTTGGCTCACCCGAGACTCTCTGTGATTGGAGCCAAAACAATGTTGTTTTTAAAATCTTACATGATTTAAAATCTACGCTAGTAACAGAAATCCTTATAAAGTATTGTTATGTTTCAGATGTTTTATTAATATAACAGTAGGCATATATAGAGTGCTGTTGAGCAGGGTGAGTTAGATATTTAGAAATCTACATATGCCTTTTTGACTTTGATTACAACCACAATTGAGCCCAACATTTCTATTGCTAAGTGAGGCAGTTGTTAAGTGTGTTTTTCCCATTTTACAGCTTTTCTTGTCACAGTTGTTAAATGAATCACTGCAGTTGACAAATTAGTAACCTGGTTGGTAAGTGAATCTGACTTCCCCATTGAATTTGCTTGTCATAAAGTCGCTAAAGAGGATCATGTGATCTTGGACACAGCAAAGATCATAAATATGAACCAGTTGCCAAGCCTCTGAATGTTGATCACATGATCATGGGGATGCTGCAAAGGTCGTGACTATGAAAAATGATCATAAATCACATTTTTCAGTGCTGTTGTAACTTTGAACGGTCACTAAATAAAGTCAATGACTACTGTAATGAACATGTTTCAAGAAAGCACTCCTTTTATGTCATGCACATATTTGTAATTTGTTTTGGTCAAAGAGCTTTTCCAGGGCTCTGAAGCACCATCCAAACCAGTTTATTGAATATAAAAGTGGAATGATTAGA